TGCATTATTTTCTACAGCATCTTAAAACAGACTGTCTCTAATCTGACTGGAGGGCAGATGTGCTGTTGGAACACAAAAAATGAGAAAAGGAGATGACATCTTGAGTCTCCCCAGTGCTATGGGTTTTTCCTGCCCTGAACGCTAGATACTGTTTTAGTTACTCAGGTTTTTGCTTCCATTCACTCTTTTCTATCTTGTGCCAGTCAGTTGTCTCTGAGATATCTTTTGGCATGTCCTCTTCAGAAGTCCTGCTACTGTCAGTGACATAATCCTGCTATTTGCTGTTTTAACTCTCTAAAACTGGGAGGGGAAAGATTACTACTTCCTTTTGCTCTGTCTTGGAGGGAAAATTTGAGCCAAGACCAAACCTTGGCCATCAGGTGATATTTTCCCCTCAGTCTTAGCTGAGCATCTATTGTCATCTTGAGTCAATGGAACTGTATTTAGCCAGTTGTATGAAAGAAACAACTAAAAATGAAAATGCACCTGAAGCCTCTGCTAGGTTGAGCAAGAGGGAGGTATCATTTGGGACCTGTGTCTGCCGCTATGAAGCACTGCTCTTTTGCTGGTAGCAGGACAATAGGCAGGCCTGAGGTATCTCTGTTACTCTAATTTTTCTTCTCTCAAATGCAGTGGCCATGTAGTTTTAGCATAGCCTGTAACATGAATGAGCATTTTTCAGTAATGTGGTCATTGTGTCCTTTTGTACTGAAGTTCATGCAGCGCGGCCCAGCCTGTTGCTGCCTAGAGCCCTGCTTGCTGCTCACCAGCAAGGCACCTTCCTCCTCCTCCCCTGTATAAAATGGCTGCAGAACTCAGCAGATGGGAGTGATGGCTTGCTATGTGTGGGTCTGACTTCTCTGCTAGAGAGAAAGTTGTATTTTACTACTTAACAGAGTCAGAATGCTAGAAAGGGGTTGTCAGCACCTTATAGTCTGCTTCCATTTAATTCATGTAAAACTGTAGGCCCTGTCGCATCAAAACTGAGGAAAAGGATTCGTTTCTGCTGCTCAGGTGCCTATTTCTGAGATCAGGAACAACTAGATGATGCAGTGGCTTAGAGGTAGATATTATCTTGTACCCTCAAGCAGCTAGGCAGCATCTAGTTTCTCAAAGATGCATAGCTTGAAGGAGTTTCTGATAAAATTATCTTTATTTATTGATACTTTTTGATACCACTAAACATCCTTACTGTCTCTTTATCTCTTAGGCACGCAGAATGTGATGCGTTCTCAGAGAAGTCTGCATTTAATAGTACAAGCATATTAGATCAGTAAAAGTCATTCTGTGGCAATGCAGTTGAGCTGCTTTTAAGCCCATCTTGCGTTCTGACATACTGCAGTTGGTAGTAAATGCCGGTGTTTTGATCATTTCAGTTAAGTTTATTTGAATAGTATGCCATTTTTAGGTTTCATACATAGTGATTACATGACAATAGCTGTGTTTGGCTTCATGTAATGAGGTATTGATTTTTGTCAGCATAAGATCCCTCACTAAGAGTGTAAGACTGACCAAGAGAGCAATTGATTTTATGGTGTGGAACTGAAAAGCATTTAGATGGACAGGAGTGTCAGTCCTGGAACTCAAAAAGCTCATGGCTTCATTAGACACTCAGTGACTTGGAAATGTGTTAATTCTAATGGAGTAAATGACTTCAGGTTGGTGGCTGTTGTGTAGGTGTCTGTGTGTGGTTGTTGTTTTATTCTGTCTGCTTGTTGCTGTGCAGGTGTGGTTTTAGTTCAGTCCTAGGTACAGCTCTGGTCTTCCTAGCCCTGAAGCATGTATGCAGAGTGAATGATGTTCTTAATATCCTTGCAAAGGTTCAGGAATACATTCCAGAATAGGTCATTTTACTCCCTATTTCTGTAGGAATGTCATTAAAACAAACAGTATTTGACAGTCTCTTTAGTATTAATTACTCTTCTGCTCATAGGTGTAGGAGGCAGAAGTGATGAGAAAAGTTGGGGTAGGTTATGCCTGTTGCTCCACTCACTGCCAAAAAGAAGGCGACTTAGACCTCTGGAGACAAAACCAATCTGTGCAAGGGACTGAACAATGCGTAGATGTTTCACTTTCTTTTTTGCCAAAGAAACAAACAAAAAAACCAACCACATCACAACAGCTTATGTCCTCTTCATCAGCTAATTTGAGACCTTTCAAAATGTTCTGGCTTAAGTTTCTTTGCAAATGCTGCTTTCTGTGTTAACGTGTTTGCAGCAATAGCAAAAATTGCTAGCTGGAGGGTAGGGTGATTACTTTGGAAAAGGCTGTCAGGTGGTGATACAATTGAAGAAGATATTTGTATTGATTCCCTGAGGGAAATAAGTTGTTTGTTTAAATTGCTAGCTATTGAAGGCCTGAAATTTTATACTACGGGGTGTCAAGTCTGCATTTTGTACCTGAAAGAGTTCACTATTTATGTGATGAGTTGTTAGCTGTATGTATGCTCAGTCTTGCATGGCTTTTCTGGCTCATTTAATTCTTTGAATAGTAAAGGCATGGGTTGTAGCTAACATAACTTCAAAAACACCTAAAAATCCTCTCTGTGAGCTCTACTTTCTTGTATGGGTGGCCAGGAAGGCCAATGGCATCCTGGCTTGTATCAGAATGGTATGGTGAGTAGGAGTAAGGAAGTAATCCTGTCCCTGTACTCAGCCTTGGCAAAGCTTCACCTCGAGTACTGTGTTCAGTTTTGGGTACCTCAGTACAGAAAGGACACTGAGGTGCTGGAGCAGGTCCAAAGAAGGGCAACAAAGCTTGTGAAGGGCTTGGAGAATATCTCCTATGAGGAGAAACTGAAGGAACTGGGGCTGTTTAGTCTGGGAAAAGGCGGCTGAGGGGAGACCTTATTGCTCTCTTCCAATTTCTGAAAAGTGCTTACAGTGAGAGCGGGGTTGGTCTCTTCTCACTGGTGACAGGATGAGGGGAAATGGGCTCAAGTTGCACTGGGGTAAGTTTAGGCTGGATATCAGGAAACACTTCTTTACAGAAAGGGTTGTTAAGCACTGGAATAGGCTCCCCAGGGAGGTGGTTGAGTCAGCATCCCTGGATGTGTTTAAAAGCCATTTGGATGTGGTGCTCAGGGACATGATTTAGCAGAGGGTTGTTAGGGTAGTTTGGTTAGGTCACAATTGGACTCAATGATCTTTAAGTTCTTTTCCAACCTGAGCCATTCCATGATTCCATGTCAACTAAAAATCACTGGGCAGATGCAGGACATAAATGAGTCTATTCTCATTTTGTTGATATCAGTATAAGGCAGCCATCATAGTTGTCACATTGCTCGGTGTTCTGTATTTTGCTACAACTAGCAGCAGCTTGCTCCAGGTTGATCAGAGGTGTTAAACTGTTCTACTTAAGTATTTTAGGGTCTTAGATACAGTCCTCTTTCAGGGCTTGCGGGGGAATAGGAAATAACACGGGATGTGCTAGTAGCAGTGTTGATATTTTTAAGCTGGTTTGCAGAGCTTTACAATCTGACTAAAAACCTTGTTTTTACAGAAATACTCCATTTCAAGGTAAATGGTAGATGATGTATTCCCTAAAGTGGAGAGAGGGGAGAATAAGTAAGTTATCCAAATTGTTGATGCCACTCACCAGTTCATACAGGCACAAAGCTAGTCATTGGATTTCGTGACTTCTGTTTTCTTTTTTTAAACAAACATGAACAGGTGTTTGCTTTCAGATATTATTTACCAGAAGTGGCCAGAATCAAAGTGGTTTCTACTTGAAAAGTGCTGATTGATAGAGTGAAGCTAGAACTGATTGGGTGTAATTTGAAAAATATTTTAACAGTACTGGCCTACCTCTGTCCCATGTCCCCACCATCACCTGTGCAGCCCGATGGTAGCAGTGATGCAGGATGAGGCACATAGAGCTGGAGCCACTTGTGTTCACATGGACATGGAGTGGTGCACAGCCACAGTCTGTGCTGAAGCCCACCTGTGTTCATGTGTAATGTCACCACTGCCTTTACACTGCTTGTGCAAAGGATATGTGGTCTGATGGGCAGATGTGGAAGAAATAAAGCTTTTTTTAGTCAGGGCTTTTTTAATAGCACTGCGTGGAAAAATTAATTCTTATGTCTTGAAATAATGGCATAACTCTAGTGTTTCTCTTTTTGATCTCAAACTAATGTCCTGGTGCTGCGATGGAGTAAGTCTTGTGGTGGGTTTGTTTTTGTTTTTTGGTGGGAGGGGGTGGGAGCAGTACTGTGTCTTTGTGGTTTCTCTTGGTTAGTTGGTGGTGTTTTTGTTTGATTTTTTTTACTGTTTCACGGGGAAAGAAGTAGGAAAAAGTGGGGAAAAAAATCAAGACAAAAGCCTGTGGATTTAGACACAACTAGAACTGTGAGCCTTTAAGGGCATGTACAGAAACTGCTTATATAGATGATATCTCTGTGTGAGAGACTGTCAGTAGGAGGACTGAGCTAGCTGCTTTTTTGGGGAGCCATGCAGGCAGAATGTAAGTAAATAAATAGCAGGCAGAGTGCTGCACTAGAGTGGGTTCCTATGCTGCAGAGATCAGCTGCAAGCATGGAAATTAGTACAGATTTATAATGCTGTCTTTGGGCAGTAAAACTGTTTTCCTGTATTTTCTGTGCAGTACAAGGACAGAAGGCATGATAGGAATTTGCCCTCCTATTTTCTTCTCTACCTTTGCTTGAGAAAGACTCTCACAAATAGTAGTGAATACTTGTGGCTATTGAAAAAGTAACTGGCTATATAACATAGCTAGTCTGGCTTATATTTGAAGGAAAATCTTGCACAGCTTTTGAGAAAGAATCAGTGAGTTTAAAAAAAAAAAAAAAGAAACTGAAAAACAGCACACCAGCCTGTGTCTGACTGTTAACAGAGACTTTTACTTACTGCTGAACAGCAGAATTTAAAAATCATAAAGAGCTGGGTACGGAGGAATTATAATAGTTCATCTAAGGTACCCAAATATATGCTGGTCCTTTTGTGGTGCGTTGGCAGTAAAAGAGAATGAGCCATTGTTGCTACATTTAACACTTGTACATTTTTATTTAGTTAAATCAGCCATTGTACACATTGCAGCTATGTATTGTTAGTGTTGTATTTTTTTTAATTTTTAACTAATACATGCCCTCATAGATATATTCAATTAGTGTTATCACCATGGGAACAAGATGCTGATTCATCAACTTAAAATTCACTTCTTCTCACAGTATTCAAGTTCTTTGATAACACAGCAAAAAAAAAAACCAAAATAAGAGGTGAATAACCATTATGTTGTTACACAGAACATCATCTGCACCGCAAATAACACAACAGAAATGCATTTCTTTAGAGCCCCATTCTTGAAGATCATCCTGTGCTTTGACAATAAGAAAGCCATCGATGTATTGTGAAATGTTTTATCAAGGGTCTCATTCATTTTGGCTGCCAAAACACTTTTTTTCTGCCTGCCTGCCAAAAAAAGTGTTAGCATGGCACCTCAGGTTGCTTTGTCTGCAGGAAGCCTCAGCTCCCAAGATGTGCTCATGCTTTTGGCATTGGTAGTTTAGTGAGAAGTGCCCTTCCTTGTTCTGAGCACTGAGTGAGTCATAAACCCAAACCGTAATCGTAGTAGGCCAGGTAAGCTTGGAAAAAGCATTAATCTTAAAGGAGAGGATTTGTTTTTAATCTTGAGTATGCTATTAAAAAAAAAAAATCAAACAGCTGTTTAAAAACCTTTAGTGTGTTTGCATGTGTAATATATTCTAAAATGTTCCAGAGTGCTCACCTCTAAATGTTAAGGTATAGAATACCAAACATGTCACATCTTTGTTCCCTTTATTTTAAAATAAAAGTGCGTACATGCTATTGTGATTTTTCAGAGGGTTGATTTAGAAATATATATAATATATAGATAGGTAACAAAATATGAACAGAAACTGGCTTTTGAAGAGTGAGCACTTTCTCTTTAAAAAAACATTTGACTGGAAGATAAAAACTGCTCGCTCAGTGCTTAGAGGGCTTTAGTAGGTTGACACAATTACAGGAGGTTTGGTTTTGATCTTCAAATGCCACATGCATGTATCTGAAAAGAGGCAGTCTTGATTAAAACATGGTGAATTAATTATTCTTTTCATATAGTGTAAGTCTTTCTCCCATAGTTATCTACAGTGCAGTGGCCAGCAGGACAATGTGGTTTGCTAAAGCAGTGATGAAAACAGGAACCTACTGTAGTTATAATTGTTTAATACACCCTGCCACATGTCCAGATCTAAAAGATTTTAATACCGTATGCAAATGTGCCATAGATATAGCTGCTAGCAAGTTGGTTACCTAATTGGATATTTTTAATTATTTTTTTTCTTTTCTGGAAATCTTGAAGTGGCTGTCCAAAGGTCTTAAAAGTATCGATGGCCACACACAGTCAGCTCTTCATGAGAACAGCTGAATTTCCAGGTTTTTAGCCTGACTCTTAGAGCCTTTAACTATAGTAATAGATCCCTAAACTGGAAGTCTTATGGATGCAGTAGATCTGCAGTGCTTCCTCCTCAGTCAGTGTTCGCAGTTGATCATTTTAATGTTATTTTTCTGTTGTTCACCAGCATCAACAAACCTTGTAATCCACGACACTAATAGTATTCATAGGCAGTGTGTTTTCTGCAGTCTCATAAGTAAGTCCAGATACTCTTGCTATATACAGTTTACACGTTAACTCCCTTTTTTCATGATGCCTGTACATAGTCACTTGAAGAGGCCTGTAGATGAAATTGGATTGACAAATGCAGTTTTGAGAAGCTAGTGCAGAAGCAAAGGACCAGCAAAAAGTGGCGATGCTGACAAGGTCCCAGTACAGCACAAAGACGACAACTCGGTGGATAAATCATCCTGAATGAAGGATGCTATCTTTGGTCACAAATTAGCTTACAGGGTAAAAAATAACAAAAACCTAAAATCAAATACAGGGGAAAAAATGAATTCACTGCATCTGCACAAGTAGAAATGGCAGTGTCTTCCAGTGATTACGTAGGTCATAATGTCTACACCTAGAAAAGATGAATGCTGCGTACTGGATGGACATGTTGTTGAGGGGTGACAGCTTCTTATTTTGCATCTTGTTTCCAATCCTCTTTGCAGAAGTGTCTAAGAAGCTGCTGAAGGTCATGCTGGAGGTCATCCTGTGGTAGTGCTTCTGGTGTGTCATCCAGCTCTTCTATGTGAACATGTTTTCCATACTGATCCTTCATCACAGTCCTCTTCTGTGTGCTGGCTTTACTTAGTGTTGTCCTGAAGAGAGAGAATGAGAAAGCATTCATAGTCCATAGTTTCTGAAGGCTTTAAAACATGCTCCCCTATAGCTGGAGGCTTAGGGGTGTCTTGTTGCTCAAAAGTGAAGTGAGAGTAATTGTAGCTGGCAATTTAAACTAAGGTCAGATGTTCTTTATTCATTGTGGATACAACACACACCACAGCTTTAACTGGCTTTTGAAATGTAAGCAGTTCATCTCTTCATGCTTATTAAGCATACAGTTGTAGATGCTCAGCAAAAATGTGCTGTAACACAGGGATATGCAACACAAGACGTTTGCACAGGACCTTCCTCCTTGCTGTATTTAACATCTACATACAATGTTGTCATGTACTTAAAGGTTCCTTCATGGTATTTTCAGCTGCTTTAGCTAAAAATTTCTTGAATGTGTGCAAGTCTCCCTTAAGTTAGTAAAGCTGTATTTGTGGCACTCTAGTTACTTACTTTTTTTCATTTTTTATTCTCTCACCCCATTGGACCTAGCTTTGCTCTACTGGTCAGAACCATAAATGTCTCTCTTCCAGATCTAGGCAAATGCATGGAGTTGTCACCAAACAGGTCGATGCCTCTGTTAGCCTTCACCAGAAGCCTGCTTTTTAATCAGAGTCCTTGAGAGAGGACCACAGGAAGGCAAGCACTCTTGCCAAGCCACCACCTCTTTTTTTTTTTTTTTTTTGCTGAGCACTTTCAACTACTTGCAAGGCCTTCCTAGTGCACACTTCCCTTCCTATAAGAGAATGTTAGTAGTAACATTTAGTAGCTTCGCAAATAAGTAGTCATGTGCTGTCAGTTCACTTCAAACACACTTAAATTCACTAACATTCAGAGTGAGTTTGTTAATTTTTTTTCTGGTAGCAGTTCACTGCCATGCCAAACCAAACCTTTTAATAATTGATCCATCCTCTTTCATGATCTCCTTCTCTACTAACGCAGGGAGTTGGATTTTAATTTGGTTGCCTGTATAGCTCAAAGCCTCAAATTAAAACATAAACTTCCAATTAAACAACACACAGAAAGCTAGGACTGAAAATAATTGTTCTTCATGCTTGAGTACCTCATACAATCAGAGCTGAATGGTGAACTCCTTACAACTTTTCCTCTGTGCAGATTGGTAAGTTTCTTATGTAGGATAGTTTCACTGTGCTAAGAATTTTAATGAAGTATGTCTTAGAACTTTTTTTTTCAAGTTTGAAAATGTTCAAATCAGGGCCTCAGAGCGCTACATCATCCTTTAGATATGCTTACAACAACTGTGATACAGCACCCCTTTCCTGTTGCAGGAAATATTCATTCTTTTATACACTTTCTACCTGTCAGCCTGAGCTGCCTGCTCTGAAGCTAGCAGTAAATAGACAGGCGTGCATAGAAATAGATGGGGGATACTCTGGAAATGGAAGAAGCAGGGAATTGAGTTTGGCAAGGTTTTTCACCAAGTATCTTGTTACTAATACTTCATAGAAAAGAAAATAAAAAATTAGAAAGGCAGCATTTCTATTTCCTTTTGGCTGGATGTGGATTTTAATTTGTTCTGGGCATAACAGCTTTTGGCTCTTGCCATCTTCCTGCACTACTCCTTTTCTATTACTGAAATGTCTAACCTGATCAGAAGAAGTACAAAAAGAGAAAAGGTGCTAATTAGCTTAGTAGCAATTTTTTAATGGACAAAAGAAGTAGTAGTTGTGATACAGCAGTTTATCTGGAGAGTAGAATTAACAGCGTCGATTGCCAAGATCAGCAATGTAAGGGGTAATGTGTGAATGAACTTAAAGCTTTAAGAATAACCACACAAAAGATTTTCATCAATTTTAAATCCCCTGTGGATTACTTTCATTTTTTATTTTTCCAGGGATCTTAATGTTTCACAGTTAATTTTGTAATTGTAGACTCTACCTGTAAATACTCTTTATATAAAATCTTTTATATAAAGCTTTTCATAATGTGATCAAGTGTAACAACAAAGGTTTGTACTTAGTGGTTGAGTTTGGTACTGCACCAGCAAAACTTTCAGTGAAATAATGGCTGGTTTAATAGTTACATGGGAAAGGTATTCTTACCTCTTCAAAGTCCTCTTTGGCTGACGGAAGATCAGTAGCTAAGCTAGCATCCCCCACGTGTTTCTCCATTCTCTCTCCTTGCACTACAGTAGTCTTTATGACTTTGCTGACCTTGCGGCCTTCCACTGGCTCAGACTGGAAATTGGAGGCACTGGGCAAAACACCAGGTTCAGACAAAGTCACCTGGAAGGTTAGCAAATTGATTATTGGATTGATTTACATAAGATACTAGCTAGCTAAGCTTTCAGTTTTTCTACCATTGTTTCTTAGTAACTGCATAGAGAACAAGAAATGTTTTACTTTCTACATTATCAGTGTACATTTTATTACCTTTTTGATAACTCCGGAAAAGACATTATAAATATGTACTGGTTCAGGCAGCAGGAATGGCCCTGAATAATTTGTTCTGTTGGGAAACTTTATGCTAACAGTAAAAACTGCTGCTGGAACCTGTACTAGGTTAAAGGTGCCTTCTACCACACCACAGGTTGCCATACTGGCTTGTTTGTTCCAAGGTGAGTGGAATAACACCAATTAAAGTGGGCCTCTTGCTGCAAATCCTTGCTGTACTCAGTCAGGTAGTATTGGTATCAGGCTGTATCATAAAATCACCATAATCTTCTGAGAGATGAGTACCACTTGTATAAAGGAAAGAACTCACAGGAGCAACAGACTGGAATTTCAGAATACCAGATGGAAGTGAAAAATACGATTTTGTTTGGCAAAATATAAATTTAGTTTATATGGGCTCCACAGGATAAGGAGTAGTTCTATAGTACGGTAAGCTAACTAAAATAAAGACTTCTTCTGTTACCTTACTCGTAAGGAATTACTAATTCCTAGGGAATTAATTCTGATGATTAATTCTGGTGAAAGAGAACACCAATCACATTCTTAGCTCTTCTAGTGATTATTTGGTAAATGTTACTTTCAACTGCAGTACTACTGAAATCAACCCTCTTATTTGCTCCTGCCCCTCTGTTGCTACCTTAATTGTGCTAGTTTAAGTGTCTATAGGGCTGCATGGTAATCTAAAGCAGGAGAAGATAAGCTGAGAACCTTTTCAGGTTGTTTTTTCTCCTTTTTTTTAACTACCTGGCCTTGAAACAGTTTGCAAAAAAGGTTTTTTGTTTAGCATCTTCAAATCAAAGAATGTATTAGTAACATGATAGCAAATATTTTCCATTTATCTATATGTCAACTTAGTACAAAACTGCTTTCTTTGAGATTAGTATTTCTCATAAATCATAGAATTTCTATCTTGACTTCTTTTCAAGGAAAGCTATCCCCTTCCTCCATCCTCTCTTTTTTTTTTTTTTTGGAGGCATTTCCATCTGCAAGAGAACTTTTCAAAAAATCATCCAGAACTGAATGTTATTGCTGTAATTAGAATGTAGCTCTGAACCTGTGACCAGAGGAAAGCCACAAAACTGATCACAGTGATGGAACAACTCCCTTACTAGGAGAGGCTGATAGAGCAGGGGCTGTTCAGCTTGGAGAAGCAGGCAGCTCCGGGGAGACTGGAGAGCAGCCTTTCAGTATCTGAAGGGGCTGTAAGAAAGAAGGGGACAGACTTTTTGGCAGAATGGTGGCAGGACAAAGTGAAATAGCTTCAAACTAAAAGAGGGAAGGTTTAGACTGGATATAAGGAAGAAATGTTTTACAGTGAGGGTGGTAAAGCAGTGGCACGGGTTGCTCAGAAGGGTGGTGGATGCCCCATTCCTGGAGACATTCAAGGTCAGGCTGGAGAGGCTCTGAGCACCTGATGGAGCTGTAGGTGTCACTGTTCATTAGGGCAGTTGGACTAGATGATCTTCAAAAGACCCTTCCAATGCAAACGATTCAGTGATACTGAAGTACACTCTTAGAAAGTTTACAGCACTTCTGTACCATAACAAGAAAAGTAGATCTCACCTCTGACTGTTCACTGTCGCTTTTCAGCACAACTCGTTTTACAACTTTGGAATAGCCATCTCCTTCTTCAACCATGACAGGTTTTTGAGGTGTTCCTTGCATAATGATGTCTTCTTTTTCAGTACCATCTGGAGAAACATATCGCCAGATGATCTTTCTAGTGACCTGAAGGAATGAAATAGAGCTTTGTCCCAAAAGAATTAAGAGCAATAGATCATTTCCGCTTATTCTCTAAATAGCATGCTCTACTCAAAAGGCTTTTTTCCTGCATAAGTGGGGTTCAGTGTTTTTGAGGCTGAACACACATACTCACAAATACCTATAGTACAGCAGCACTTTGATGCATCGGCTCTACTTAGTTTACTGCACAGCAAAGCTTCCATAAACTTACTTCACACGTGAATTGAGGATACATATACAGTTACAACAACACATACTAGAATGACCCGCTAAAACAGTATAGCGTCTTAGAACATTGTTTGCAATTGCACAACTGCTAAAAGCTATTTTCAAACTCGTATTTTCAGAAGTATCTTAATACTAATTAAAAGGCTTCTGTAACTAAGAGCTTAGCTATCAAGAACTGTAGGGTGACTTGGTCATTACAGTGATAATTCAATGATAGTACTAACTGCTGCTCTGCACTAGTGAGCTAGAAGTAACCTGCTTAAGTGACCAGCCCAGACTCAGCCAGATGCAGCCAAAAGAATTAAGTCCAAGTACACTCACCCAAGCCTGGAAATATTTGTCTGAGAGAAGAGGGAGTGGGGCAGGTCATTCTATTTCAAAATTATTTCAGATAGCTTCTAGAGAGATACTATCCAGCTGAGTGTCTGTGATATTTTAGTGATAGACAGCAGAGAAGTTTGCCATGTCCTAGACCAATTGTCTAAGCACTGAACTGTTAGGTAAAGCAAGGAGGATAGAAATTCCTGTTCCATTTCCATGTTATTAAAAATTAAATTTTATAAGCAAGCTCTGAAAATACTTATGAGGCCATGATACAAATCACTTATGGCACTGAGAACACAAAAGTTTAACTGTATGTACAGCTACAAAAAATTAGGGAACTTTGGGCACAGCTGAGTACAGATTTCAAGGGGCTAAAGTCTAAGTTTAGGTGACTTGTGGCCTTCCATTAGTTTCATTAATATGGGTATACTTAAGCTCTTAGATGAAATTGTTTGATTCTGTTGTTGTTGCAGTGGTTTGTTTTATTAAAAAACTTTTTCTCATAAATTGAGGTCTATATGGATTTATGTGGGAAAATTTAAGTATGTCAAGTTATGAACTATAAAACATAATGATCTTGTAAATCAGAATAAATCTTCATATTTTGGAATCTCTCGTTAACAGAACTACTGTTGTGGTCTTTGCTTAATTTATAAAAATGATAAATGTACCTTCACAAAAGAAATTTGGGAATGTATGTGGAATTACCATTGTTTTATAGGACAGTAAGAAGGTAGCAAGGGGTATAACTGATAATACCTTCTTTACCACTGTGTGGCCATGTTCATCTGTGTATTGTTCTTCTGTGACTGTTTCTGGTGGCATTTCAGGCATACTATCGGCCTGTATGACAAAGAACAAACTCTCATGAAGCAGTGCCTTAATGCAGGTAACTTTTTAAAATAAGCAACTATAAAATCAGTTAGAATTCAAAAATTTAGAAATATTAGAACTTGTTATTCTGCAAATAAGTATTTAGAAACATGCAAAGAAAAGTTGTACCACATGTTAGTTGATGATGTTGTGGCTTGGGCTGAATAAAGACTTTGTCCTCCTGCTTAAGTGTTTAATGGCATTTAGAGTTGTGTTAGAAAAGGTATTAGAATGATTTATCTAATGATCATGTGTTATTCAGGAGCATTCCAGCTTCAGTTGCAATACCAGCCAAGTGATTGTCTCAGCATCACTCCTAAAGGTGTTACCCTGGCCATAGTTACCAGTGGCTTGTGCAGTCATTCCACACTTAGTACCTGGATAATCACCCGGCGACGAACGACTCTGGTAGTTACCATCTCGTCCTCATCCGAGCTGGTTTCCAGCTCACCTAACTCCTCTGCTAACTCCTATTGGAAGCAGGGAAACAGTGCTCTGTTGTATGCAGCATTAGCAGTATTTATAGGCTCTGTCTTGTTTTTATCTAAAATCATCTTTGCTTTTAGGATTTTGCCTCTTAACTGTGTTTAACCTATGAAACGTTTACACTGGAACTGGAGGGAAGCTTTGCCACTTAACTATAAGTTAGCTATTCATTAGCATACTGAAAAGAAAGTACAGTACTAATGGTAAGATGCTCTTAGTAGTCTTGGTGCTCTTAAGGTTACCAGAGACAAACCTGAAATATGTTGCATGACATGGCTGAGTTGAACTAGACTGTGTTACTACCACCACCTCTGGAATTCATATGTATTGCATACGGATTCTGTAATGCACAGAAAATCATATGAAAGCCTCTTAATCCTTCATCCTTCAAAGTGCATAGCACAGCATAGAGACAGTAAGACTAAACAGTATTAGTTATAAGATGGTATATCAACAGTTCTGGCACCGGAGAGATCCAAGGAAAATTAGTTGCAAGTGTCCTGCACAGGAAAGAATTCAAAATTTAAATGAAAATATCAAAAAAGAAAGAGAAGCTGAAAAGGAATACTTGGGAAGCATAAAAAATAAAAAGCATAAGTGAGAAAATAAATAAGATGATGCAAGAGGCAGTGTAGATTTGGGGGAGGTGGAGATTACTGTAGTGAATAAGTAGTATGTTATAGTCGAGGGCAGCCTTTCCTGCAGAAACCTGAAGCCACCAAATAATATAATTTCTCCACTGAAAGCCATGCAGATGCTCTGCTTTATTCCCTCTGGACTTCTCATAACCAAATATGCAAGAACATTCCTTCTTCTGCCACAGACAGACCTACCTCAGACGCTGCTTGTTTTTTCTCTTCCATCCTTTGTCTCTTTCTCTTTACTGCTTATATGCTACATAAACAGCAAGGTCTTTTCTTTCAGTACATCTTTAGTCTTCTCTAATGCACATCCTGCTGTCATATTCTTTTTCCATCTCACTAAGTTTACAATACTTTTAATGACTTTCTTCACAATGCTCCTATCTTTCTTAAGCTTTTAATGCAACTTTATCTCATTACATATATTTTTCAGCTTTAACTTCTACATGGTTTGTCTGCACGTCTTACAAGCACCATGTAATTATTTCTTGCATGCGTGGGCATAAATGGCACAGACCAAAGACAGGTAGGGAAAGCAAAATCTGAATTACAGTTCAGATTTCAGGATTTTGGTTTTGCTTTTGTTTTCAAACCTCTATACAAATTATTAAAGCTAGTTCTCATAAACAGAGAGGAAAGGGAAACAGCTCAGTTGCAGACAGAGTAATCAGGCTGTCTGTAACTGTCTGTATATATTCCCATCTTATGGAATGAATCAGACACAAAACTTGTGCTTCTGTGTCATCTGAGGAAAAGTTGGCACTTGCCTTTTCTAAAGATTCCTCCTCGTAGCCACTTCCGAGCTTTTCTGGCTGTTCATCAATTGACTCCACTATCACTAGACTAGTTCTCCTTGGAGAGAGGTCATCCTGATGGAGATGGAGCTCTTCAGGTTCTTGGATGATGGGAGAACCACCTCTCTGAGCAGATGATGAGGGTTGTGGGGATGTTTTTTCTCTCTCTTCCTCTGTTGCACTGAAGTGTGCAGATGTATCACTTGCTGCTGTCTGCTCTGCTCCTGGAGTTGTGACGCTGCAAATTAAAGTTTCGAGGAAAATAACTGCAATGCAATCCTATCCAACTTCCATAAATGAACACCTCTGCACTGATTAAATACTGTTATGCTATCTAGCAAAGACTAGAAGTAACAGATACTCTTTGGCAGTAAGTACAGGTGCATATATTAAAACATAATGTACATGCAGTAATTCTCTGCTGCATGTAGGTGATTTGTGCCTTCAGATATTAATTTAACTGATCTAATTGGTCTTTATCACAAAACCTCTGTCCAACTCTGCTGCCAGGGTGACCCCACTTTTAATTTATGCAGGCTGTGCAAATATTAACCGTTTCACTACCTAGAATCATCTTTTGAGGCTGACTTCTCTCTTCATGTACACTGCTAAAAGAAAAAAATATCAAAACTGGTGGAATTACAGCCTGAAAAATAGCAAACCTGTAAAATTGCATCTTCAGGTTTTTTTAAACTTCTTAGAAAGCATGTAGCTACTAGGATTTTGCTTTTCCCTTAACTGTTATATCTTAGTCCAGATTTCCTTTTCCATAACTCATGACTAGATAACAGTAAGAGTAGCAGTGACAGAATAACTTGGATGTGATGTGTGTTTTTTTTCCTGGTATAAGTTTGGCTTCTACAATCTATTGTAACCCCCTCAACTGCTGCTCTCCAAAAATGTGTGTTCTGATGAAAGAAAAGACTTAATTGTAGTACAAGTTGAACAGTATTGATCCAGTCTTTTTCCCCCATTTATTGGGCTAAATGCTATATTGCAGAATACTTGTTCTAATAAAAGCTATCTCTACTTAAAAAGCTGTTCCTTGTAAGCTGTTTATAGCTAGCCCACTTTTCCTTCTAGTTTAAATTAGACATGAAGTCTAGAAAATTTCCTGTCATTGCTACTTTCATTTTAGTGTTGGTAATATTGTCCCAAAATATTTTATCTTTGAAAATAAGAGTGAGTAGCTTGAAGGAATCTTTGTTCTGAATGTACAATATTTACAACTAATTAATATTTCTATCAGCTGTTAGTATTTGCAGTGAAGTCTTCTCTAGCTTTTCTACAATCTGTGATAGCTGCTATCCGTATCAAAGCTAACTGCTATCAGAAAAATCACTTTGGAAGGAAGTCTTTCATTTTGCTAGCCCATGAACACCTCAGTCAAGCCTGTAGTGTGATCATTGTGAACACAAGATTAGTGTCAGTGGGAAGAAAGAAACTTTTTCAGGTTCCTTTCCAAATGAAACCAACTTCACTCACAAAGCTGATTCAGGATTGAAAGCTATGTTACACAGGTTATCTAAGTCTATACTTTATCATGTGTTGTTCCTTTAAGTACTTTTGCTTTGTCTATGTCAAGCCCTTCTTCTGTTCTTTAGCCATCTGAGATTTGCAGATTGGCTTTTAATCTAGTTGTTATTATGTAATTAATAAAAATATAATCAAGTTAGCTAAATTTTTGCCTCAACTGGAAAACAACATCCTGAAGTTGAAGAAAGGATTCTCTAATATTTACCTGCCATCTAATATGAAAAATACACTCTTTGTTAGGGAAAAAAGTTTAAAGTACCTCTCTTCTTTCAATGCATTGAACTAGCTTATTTCTTCATGGTCAATGCAAAGGACCAACTTTCTCTCCCAGTCCTTAAGGCTTCCTTCACGTGGGTCAAAAATGCAAAACTTACTGCACTTGTGAGCAAAACTGAAGGAAAATTCTATTGAATCCAAATGTTAAAATCTTCATAGCACATAGAGAACAGAGAATGTATTTTGCATAAGACACTCTCATCTTTCAACACTTACAAATATTCATGTTGTGAAGATGTTGTTTCTACCACATTGTGGAGTTTCCCTGAGAATTCAGCTTCCACTTGTTCTTTGTGTGTTTGCCTTAGGAGCTCAGCCATTGATAGCTCTGCCTCACTCCTAGGAGTACTGTCCTGAAAAGGAGAATAACTGACAGATACATCTTCCTCAGAAACAATAGGAGGGTGTTCCACTGGGTCACTGTCTTTAGACATTCTGTGGTGTTCTTCCGGCTTATGTCTTGAACTGTACAGTTCTTCTTGCAGTACAGAAAACCCTTTAAAAAAAAGAAATGAGAAATGTCATTACAATTCTCTTTAAAGTACAGAAAGTCATTCTATTTCTCCATGTGTATTTAAAATCCCTGAAACAACCAAATCACCTGAAAATTTTAGAAGTCTTGAGTGGCAGAGGATATAACCTCTCTAAGCAGGAGAAGGATCACTGGATTACCATTAGAATTACCCAATGCTGAATCTTGACAGTAACAGGCAGAATAGAATCTACACAGAAATTTATCTACACCATTTAATCTCAGGCACTTAGAAGTGTGGGAGATTTGCAAAAGTTTTTTCTCCCACAGACTGAAAGAGGTTTTAGTGACTTTTTTTTTTACCCATCCTTCATGGAGCTGTTTACAGGAAAACAAACAAACAAGAAAACTTATAGAAGTCTTAGCTTGTATAGCTGCAAAAATAATTACTTTGCAAGTCTTAGAGGAAAAAACTGTATATGGTGTGAGGTGCAAGGTCTAGCTAAATGAATGTTTCAAAGCACATTTAAAATAATTAAAATAATTAAAAAAAACACCCACTCTAATCCTGCAGAAGTAGAAAAATAACATGTTCATTTGTATCCAGCAGACAACTGACACACTCTCATTTGTTAATGTCTGAGCTCTTGTTTTTCTTCACTAGCCATGTTCACTAGGAACCAACTAAAGTCCAAGCTTGATGGAAAGCATAGCTACTTGGACTGAACTTAAGAAGGCATAGAGGTTAACATTTTTAAACTAACTAGTTGTTATACTTGAATGCTAAATACAGCAAATATGACCTACTCCTACATCACCTGCATAAAGATGGAATGTTTGCAGCGGTCTAATACTTTACTGAGCTACTGGTTTAATACTAAGTTAAGGGTGTAAAAGTATCACTTGAAAACAGAGGATTTTACTTCATGCAATTTTAAGTGTACTGATTTAAATAGAACTTGTAAACTCAAGTATTCCAACAGCATCTTAGCAGAATTACAAACAATATCCTGGATATCTCTTTTTTACAAATCTTGATGAAATCTTAATGCAATCTTCTTAACTTCTAAGAGAGCAACCGTATAAGCAAAAAAAATAAACTGGACCCAAGTATTTGCAGTATTTTCTGACAACATTCTCTTATTTTCCTTATAAGAATCAGGTGATGCATAGATTTTATACCTAGTGAAATAGTGACCTGTGTGATGTCATGCTTCCATTCACACACACTGTGATTTCAAAATTAGATTCTAGTGCTCAGTCACAACAATGAATAGATTATTCTAGTCAGACATCTCAGAACAGGATCATAACCTGGACAGCCTGTGACTGTATCAGGAGATGTTTACCTTCACTATGGTCCAATCCTATTGTTTGTTCAATTTCTGCATATGTGCGAGTGCCGTGGACCTGCATAGAGTCAATGCCACTGGTTTCCATTAGGTGAACAATATCCATTCGGTTGATTTTTGTAAGACATTGAGTAAGATTTGTATCTGTGGGATTAGAATGACATCATGTAGCTGAGTTAAGAATCTCACAGGGCTCTCTCCCTTCTTTTTTCCATCTGAAGTATGTATGTAGGAACCAATTTAGAAAAAATTTTACGTAAAAATCAAAGTTTTACTGACGGGCTGCATACAAACATTACCAGTAATCTTGTTTCTTCTTTCAAAGTTTTCAAATAGTTTTTTCTGTTCAGAGAAAAAGACGACTCAGTGTTTTTCTATTCTTACTTTGCTGGAAGAGGTTCTATCTTGTTTTTCAAATAAACAGAATTAAACTATTTTTTCTAACTGAGAATCTTATGACATGCTATGTTAAACAGAGAAACTTTCTAAAAAAGAAAAAAAGCCCAATCTGCAGCCCTTTTTTTGTTGCCTAAATTTTACCCATATTTTCCCTTTCTGATTCACAGCACACATAGGAGACAGTAGATATGTACTATAACTGATAATGAACCTGTTGCGTGTTTTCCATCCCTTTCAAGCCAATATTTGAGGAGTGCATGGCTCTGGTCTTGGAGTGAATTAGGATTTTCAATCCTGATTTGGTGAATTTGCTCTTCTGTGAAATCCAGTTCTCTTGCTAACTCTGAAAAAGAAATCCTTCTCTGTGAAGATGAATTTTATTTTTCCCTCTTTACTTTACATCTATTTTACAATTGTCAGCAACAAAGTTGATTACAAACTTTTCTGAAACTAATTTCTCTTTACGTACTTTGTGTTATGTTTAGAGAGAATGTTAAACAAGATGTTCAAGACAAAGATAATGTATTATGCTTAGTGGTTATGGGTCTGTGGGAGCTTTTCTTTTTTGTGTGTACCATTTTGAGTTCTCAGAGTTCTTACAACACTGCAGGCCAAACCATAACACAGTACTATGCTTACCAGTTTCACGTCCCCTGAAATGTTTAATGTTTTGGAAACTTTGACCAAAATCTAGTGAAAGAATTCATTTTTCAAAGTGTGGCATTTTCAAAGAAGTGGCATTTTTTTAGGGCTAGATTAAGGCATGATCATACTGCTCCCCTGAACTTATTTCATCAGAAGAAAATAGTATCTTTCTAAGCACAGGCTCAGACAGCAGCCTAGTCTCATCACCCCTCTTGTAGCCCCAAAGGAACATTTGACACAGTCAATTTTACCATAATCAATCTTCATCATATCTCAAAACAGAAATATTTATGCAGGTTTACTACTCTGTCCCTTCAAAAATCCTATAAAACACTAACACCTATTTTGATGAACATAGTTTTTTTTCCTAGTTTTGTTTTCAGAACTTCATAGTCTTTAAGAATATTTTGTAGGATTGCACAATTTAACACAGCACGGAGATTTCTATACAGCTCTTTCTTTGTGAATATTCTGGACCAATTTTCAGTGACAGAGAGCTACAGTTCATCCTGTTATCTCACTTTCCCCCAGTAGTATTAATACGCTATCTTGAAGCGACTTACAAACACAGCTTTTTTTCTCCCCTTTTCCCTCAGCATATTTCCACAGAAAATAAGTTAATGTAACTTTTCCCTGTAGTGGCCTTCTGCCTCAGGATTTCCAGAACACAGCTGATGTTTATTCATTTATCTTTCAGCCGCTTTATCTTTTAGAGTCATTACGCTTTGCAAGAAAGTGAAGAGTAACATCTGCAAATTCTTTGGCACTTTTCTCATCCTCATTCCTCTGGAGATGCCACAACAAATGCAGGAGTCCTTAGCTCTGCATCTTACAACTTCTTACTTAATAAGCTGGAGGAATTTTGGTAACCAGTATACAGACCATCTAGTTCCTATATGTTACTGAAATATTTCAATGAATATTTCAATGGAATGGCTTTAGATAATCATCTGAAAGAAAAATGAAAACACTGAAGAATGCTTGCCTTGTTTCTCTCTAGAATAGATCGTGTGTTTTACCTGTCCAACTGAATCCAAGGTGATCAGCAATGTGGGCCAGTCTTTCCTCGGTCCGTTCCCGATCATCCTGTTTATCTAAAGTTCAAAGAGAACAGCCACAAGTTGTCCTTTACAAATTAAAAAGCATTTCCTATAGGTGATAAGCCCAAGGAGGGAAACATTTTTTCTGACTGCTCTAATCTAAATTGGACGGGCTGCTACAATTGGGTAATTAAAGTAAGGTCTATAAATTTCTAGCCTACTTGCATGATTTTTCCAAAAGAATAGAACTATCTAGAATTTTTTTATTTAAAAATCAGACTTTCATGTAAAAAAATTAGGATTGAAATACCTACTGTTCCTATTTTTATCCAAGCTTTTCATTCTAACACTTAAGACTTAGAAGTCAAGAGCCATAATATTCCACGCCTCCTTAGTAAATGCCAAGGCTGAAAAATTCATCTGGACTGGTGCTTCTAATTGTGTTTTTTTCTGCAGTAAGGAAAAATCTGTTCAAAGTGTCCATTTGACATTTCATACTATGGTTTGTGTTTGTAAATTACTTAAATGTCTTTGACTCTTTCAAATAGAGAGTGATACAAATACTTAAAACGAAGGCAAGGAAAAATCAGATGCTTATTTACCAGTAACAGTGACACTTGACTGTTTCTCCCATCCTCAAAGCTAATTTGAGGATGCCAGAATTTGAGTTTTGATTTTCCCTGGACGCACACATGGATTTCAAAACATCACTTTCAGAAAAGGATTTAAAGTTAATGAAATATGCATTTTTCATTTTAGCTACTGGATTCCTATCACAGTTACCCAACGGCAGTACAAGTAAAAACCAAATACCTTACAACTTGTACTAAAGTTATTAATGACACGCGGAATTTCCGTGAGAAAGGATCAAAAAAAGAACAAGAAAATCTTGATTATTCTAATTTTCCCTAGGTTTGTTTGAGTAAAAATTCAAAAGAAAATGGATTTGCCATCTGGTATCAATCAATGCCCACATTTTCATTATTAATAACAATTGGTCAGAATAGGGCCAGGGAAAGCCAAAAGTCAAAGTGTACATGACCTGAAGGATTGGTTTAATGGTAAATATGTGTCTTTTGAAGTGTTTTTATTTATTAAAATAACACTTCCCATAAGCATTCATGACTTGCAATCTTGAGATTATTTCACAAATAAGAAAATACAGACACAACACAAAATAACAAACACAGCTTATAGGGTTAAAAAAAAAAAACAACCAAACAAAAACACAAACACAACTAACCATCAAAAGCTTAAAAGAAAATCCCGCATACTTTACACATTTATACAAACTTACAGATACACACACACACACACCAAAGAAAACAAAAAAACAAAAAGTTTTAATTTATGACATGCGTCGCACAGGGAATCCCAGTCGTTGGCAAATACCTTCAGCATGGTCATGGATATTGTCATCAGGTATACGTTCAATCTGAGTCTCTACAGACTCATCCCAAATAGGTCTGGTGTCAAAGATGTCTTCAGGAACTGACTGCTGAGTCTCAATGGATGGCACGTTTTCAATAACTGAAACTTCTAGGGCACTACTGCTTTCGTCATCTGAAACTAATTCTTGTTCTCTTTCTGATTGTGTAAGTCTTTCCACTAACTTAGAAGCTTCATCACTAATTTCTTCAAAGAATTCTATGGAGTTTTTATACAGGTCAAAAAAATGTTCCTTACTTTCTTTTGTAGGACTAAAAGCACTGTGGGAGGCTGTAGTGCTCCTGCTTTTAACTGGCACTCGTGATGAAAATACCTTGGGTCTTGCTGTTGTTGCCTCATCTGAGTCTAGCTCAACCTTTAACTCGCTCTCCCTCTCCCAGGTCTCTGCTTCTGCCTCTGCATAACTCCTAGCTTTTATTGAACGTTTGGTCTTTGGGTCCATGGGAATACTTGCATCAGATTCAGATTTACTTCGGCTATCTTGTTTTGTAGGTAGTTTGCTTGTCATGCTGAGAGCTTTGGATGACTCTAGCTTGTGGACAGATGTGTCTGTGGATGTGTATTGTTGTTCAGCTCTTTGGAAAGCTGATTTGACAGGAATTTTAGACTTTGGTTTTGCTTGGTCATCTTTTCCTTCACACTGCAGACTGTCTAGGAAGTCATCAATGGGAAGGTTCTCATTTTCTGATTGTTGCAGTGATTGTGATGCAGCAGCAGCTGTTCTTACAGGGATTTTGGATTTGCTTTCACAAGAAGGCACTCTCTCCATTAAAGCAGTAGGGATTTCTATCACAGATCTCTGTTCTTCTGGTGAAGAGTCTGGGGACTCATCATCCTTTTCAGAACAAACAAATCTAGTGACTTTGGAAAATTCTAACTCATCTTCTACCACAGACTGCTCAGGAGAGATGGGGAAAGGCACCTGACTGCTATCGACTATGTCAGTCTCCACTATGAAGAGGGATTCAGCTTCAGAGGCAGCAGTTTCTTTCTTTGGTGATTTTGAAGAAGCTGAAATACCCATTTTAATTGGAATTCTGGATTTAAGCTCTGCTTTTGCAGTGCCTACGCCGATGCCTTCATCAGTCACTTCTTCTGATTTATCACAAGGCTCAGATGGTGAGGGTGAACGATTCAGTGTATCTTTTCCTTGTATATCCGGGTCCTCTGATTCTGAAAGTGAAAATGGATCTGGTGGACTCTCCGGCTTAGAAGATTCTGCCTCTGCTGCTTCTTTGATTTCCTCACATAAAGAAACTTCTTCCTGAGGCTGCTGCCCCATTTGGAAGAAATGAAAACTTTCATCTGGATAGTTTCTTTTGGTCATGTCAATAGCTCCACTTCTGGTCATTTCAAACAACTTTCCTTCCTGAAAAAGAAAAGGATTTTGTTCACTAAGTGGTGTCCCTTCTTCAGTGGGTGTTCTAGCCGGTGTTGTATCAGGTGTTGTGCCTTGTGATCGCCTGTCTACCATCAACCCAAATATCTTTTGTTCCTCTTCTTTTACCCGAGCTTCAAAAGCTTCATCATCTTCACGAATGTCACTCCATGTGTCAGAATCTACATCAGTCTTGGTAATGACAACTTGACTGATCAATTTCTCTGTTTCATCTCTTATATCCGTAAGGGCAGATTCGGCTAACTTTGTGGAATCTGATGCTGAAGACCCTGGAGAGATTTTCTGAAATATATCCTCTGTTTTAAGTTCTGTTTCCATATGCACTTCCTTTGAACATTGATATTCACTACCTGTGCCGTTACTAAGCAAAGCTTCACCAGTCTTATCCTTTGTTTCTTCAACAGAATAGTCTTCACTAGATAGCAGGCTTTGACCAGTTCCTATCTTACTTTCACCACCATCAGTAAAAAAATGTTCAGAAGACACATTTTCATAAGGGCTTACTATATGCGGAGCTCTACTTTCAGCAGCATCCGTTACACAACCTTCAAGTTCCACTGTTTCAGTGGTAAGGGATGAATACTCTGACAAGGGTTCCTCAGCACAAATATCTCTCTGAGGTGTTTTAAAATCTGCATCTACTTTTGCAAAATCAGAATGTTCAACGAGATCATCTTCAGTCAGTTTGTCGTCTTGTGGTACAGAGAATTCAGTGGTACTGTGTCCACAAGAACCATCATCTACTTTCTCAGTCACTGTTCCTTTAGTAGTGAGAGTTGTGTGTGTTAAAAGAACAGTGCTTTTGATACCATTTTCATTGGTATCGTCTTGGTGTAGCGTTGAAGACTCGATGTGAACTTCTTTCTGAGAACAGTCACCAATGGAATGACACAGAGTACCCTCACATTTTGTCACTGGGACATTAGGACTAACCTCACTCTCATCTATACTATCACATTTTGATTCATCAGTTTCTGCTGATACACAACCGTCTGAATGACAAATGCCCGATTTTCTTGTGGAAGCCTTACAGCTGCCTCCAAGGATATATGGTTCATCTTTGTCATCTTCTGTTGGTTTGTCCTGTTCTGCTGTAACTGCACCTATCCTGGAAGAACACTGTTTTGAATTAATGGGTTGAAAACCTGCTTCTTCAGGGCTAGAACTGGAGTCTATACTAGATGGTAATGGTGAAGGTGGTTGTACTCGGATTACAGGTTCCATTAAGAGACCTGAATCAGCTTCTTTTTTAAGCTGGGTCAATTCTGGCTCACTTTCTGAAGAGGAAGAACTTTTTCTAGATTCAGCTGAAGACATCACCACTGTGGGTATATCTTTTTCTTCTACGGTTTTTGACTTTGATTCTTCAATTTCACATGCAACTTCTGAGTCAGCAATTAGAGAATATTCATCTTGCTTACAATCCCTTTTGTAATCTCGCTTCTGCTTTGCTTCTTGCTCTAATTCATCAAACGTTTTGATTTTTGTCACCATTTTAAACATCTCCTCTTCAGGGGTAAATTTCTTCTTTGGTTCACTTTCTGATTCATCCTCTGGTTCTTCACTGACTTCAGGGATCACGGCTGACTTTGGTATATTTGACAGTGCTTGTGAGTCTGCAGTTTTAGGTGTGATTTCATAGCTAATTTCTTCAGAACTGGGAGTTTCAGGTGAAAGAGGACTTTTCCCTGAACTCTCCATGAGAGATGTTTGCTCTAGACTGTCATCATCAGCACTTCCCTCAGGGTCACGGAGAATCCTGGAACGTACTGTTGCCAACTCTGGGCAAGTTTCTCCTTTGCCAAGAATAGACTGAAGAGGACCCTGCCCCAAAATACCAACTTTCACTTTTTGTTCTACAGGACTACTTTCAAGGGAATCACGGCAAGGAGATTCTTTCATGGGACTGGGCTCCAAAGAATCAGGCGTTTTATGTGATGAGTTATCTTCTAGCACGGGGCTTGCTTCCAGTGAGTCTTTATGACTTATAGCCAAAGAGTCATCTGCAACTGGGCTAAAGCATTCACTATCATGGCTAGCAAGTGAAAGTTCCAATTTTTGGGGGCTTCTAACCACAACACGGTGTTCACAGGTTATATCTTTCTCTTTCTCTAAAGCAGTGTCATGTGTTTCAGAAGACTTAGTTAAATGTGGAGTGGTTCTGGATTCTTTATCCCTGCTAATATCTTTCATAATGGAAGCTGAGCTACTTTCTTTAAGTTTATCAGCCTCTTCTCCAGAGGCTGTAGGTACAAGCTCTTCTGATACATGGTCAGAATGAGACTCACTAGTCTCAGCAACAGCATCAAGCTGTTTTTCAGTAATACCTTTTTCATTTTCCTTTGGTGAGAGTTCCTTCGGAGAACATGTTTCTGCTGTTGTGTGTACTTTAGCTGTTCCTTTAGCTTCTTCAATTTGCCCATCGGTTTTCTTTGGTGAGAAAGAAAGGCTTTCAGGGCTTGTTTCTGGAGTTTCTGCCAGACCCTCATGTTTATAACTTTCCTCAGAACTGATCTGAGGAGTTCCATCAAGCAGGCTACCTGGAGAATCAGCCACACCTTCATGTTTAAGGCTCTCTGAGCTCCCATCAAAAGCAGCACTTTGCAGAGAGAGAGCAGGAAGGAATCCATCTTTTACATACTCAGCAGGGAAAGCAACATTGAAGGGACTGGTCAGTACTTGCTCCAAGTTAAGCTCGCCTTCCTCTGTCACTGAAAGATGTCGGAATTGTTGGTATTTGTCATTATCCTCAAGTTCTTCTTTAATGACATCGGAAAAATCTGTTGAGGTTTTCCTGTCAGGGCTGATCTGAAAGTCTGCATCGGCTTGGTCATCAGAAGTCTTGCCCTTTACAACTGCTGAATCTTTGGTACTTTCATCAGCAAATACTGGAGGGGGAGGTTCCGCTGTTGTTTTTTTGCTGCTCTGCTGTTTTACTTGGTCTTTGCCTACAGTTTTCTTGATAGTATCAACAGTGGATACTTGCATTCTTCCTTTCTTTGGCTGTGGCTCTTTCTCTGCTTTTAAGACTGTGCTTTGCTTGTCCTTCTGTTTGTCTGTCTTGTGGCTTGATACTCGCTTTGTTTCACTTAGTGAAGAAATTGTTTTTCTCCGTGTTGTTTCCTTCTCAGGGGGTTGTTGCTTTTGTTTGACAGATTTGTGCTCGAACAGTCCAGATACATTCTTGGATGGGTCTTGACCTGACTGGAAGGCTTTCATCAGCTCTCGAACTGACATGGTCTCTTCAAGTCTTTCTGTCTTAGAAGAAGGTGAAACAGGAGGCTGTGCTTTGTGTGCAACTGTTTTTTTGACTGGTACTGGTTTTTTAGAAGCCTTTTCAGCAGTGCCTTCTCTTGTTTGAATTCTGACAGGTAGCTTAGAGCGTATTTTTTGTTCATCTTCCACTCGTTTCTGAAGAGCTTTTACCTTATCTTTTATTGAACCAATAGGAGTTTCCTCTATGACAGGAGATACGGCTTTAGCCTCAGGAGCAGCTGCTGGTGTTAAGCCATGTTCCTCCTTTGGAGACTCATCTGAACTGATCTTCATTAGTCCTGGTTGTTGTTCACTACTGTGCATCTTGCCTTCCTTTTGTTTGTGCTTGTCTTTTAACTTTGTTCTAACTGGCTTTTTAATTTCTAAGGCTGGCTTATGTTGTTCTTGTGGACTTACTGTTTCGGTTGTTGGAGACTCTCGTCCTTCTTTTTCAGAATCCCTGCTTATTACTACAGCTTCAAATCTCTCTTCTACCATGTCTTCCTGTAAAGCTTGTGGCTGTACCTCATGAAGAGAAACGTATTTGTTTAAATCCTCAGTAAGGTAATCTACCATTCCTGTCATGTCTTTCTTTTCCATCTCTGTTGTCTCTTTGTCTATTCTAACTTCTACACAGATAGGTTCAGTGACCTCTATAGGAGCATTTCTTCTGGCCTCTTCAATTTCTTCATCGCTGACAATGACCCATTCTTCTTCTACCAATTCTTGTCTGGAAAGAGACTTTTGCAAAGCATGTTCTTCTCTAGTATATGATCCACCTCTAAGAATTTCATTCACTTTTTCTAAGTCTTCTTTCACCCTTTCAACTATTTCAAAAGGCTCTCCTGGCTCCTCTTCAGTGGCTTTCCCAAGATCTTTCACTTTAATAGAGCCTGATTTATCAGAAGGGTCAGTTGTCAAGATGGCAGTCATTTTGATCAAATCTTGTTTCATCTCTGAAACTTCAGACAGTAAGTCTGGACTGGCTAGTACAGGGACTTCATTAACCAGATGGCTTTTCAGGATAGATGTTTCTGTAGATTCTGTCTCATCATCTTTGATGCGAATGAAAAACATTGAAAGTAAAATGGAAATCAAAAATAGAGATTGGAAAACGTAATCAGGACTAAAAATGACAGTCTTTGGTTGCAGTGGTAGGAAGATCTACAAAATGGGCCAGGAATGGTGGATCCACAAGATTTGAGGGTACAAGAGCAAAGCAAAGCTAACAGGAGGGAAAAAAAAAAAAAAAGAAGGGAAAAAAAACTGAAAAGGAAAATGGCAGGAAATAACTTGCTTAACTTCACCAATATAGCACAGCCACACATACATTACCAAAGCTGTAACAAACAAAATCAGGACACCGTCAAAGAAAAGAATATTAAAAAAACAAAAACAACCCACTAACAACAAAATTTAAAATTAAAAACAGAAGAAACACAGTGAAGTTACACAAAGATAGCATCTCAAGATTGTTCAGATGTTACAAATCAATGTTCAAATAAAAATAAACAAGAAAAGAAGGGGAAAGTATTAGAACTGATTAAAAGTCGATTTCCTCTAAGAGAAAGCCAGTGTTAGCAAACTGTCAGAATAACATTCAGTTAACATGTTTTGTTTATTTTTAAATTAATGATCAAAATGAGAAGTTATAAATAATTCTGCAATAATCTAAAATATAATCAAATATGTAGATATCTGAATCAGCTGCAAACCGGCATTTCATCAAAGGGGATTTCACACCTAAACAATGAAACAAACATCATTTGGTTTTAAGAGGCATGGTCCTTTCCTTGGAACATCCTCATTGACAACTAATGAATTGACTGAGGAAGGAGAAGACAGAAGAAAAGGAGAGGAAAAAAACTGTGAATCAACTTAGAAGTGATTTCAGAGTTTTTAAAAAAAATGTAATGTATGGCAACCAAAAATCAGACAGTCACGCTAGACACATACATACAGTTTATGTAAGGCAAGTTATTTCCATGCAAAGCAAAGGTGTTGCAAATGCTTCTGCGTATGTAGTTTCAGTTAAAAAAAACAAATAAACAATAGCTTTAAAATTAATCTTCTAAAATAAAGATACATGAAAGTATTATTAAATATACTGTGGTGAAATATTTATCTAATCTGTACAACCAATAAATAGTAAATTGAATGTAGCAATGTCCTGGTACGCCATTGCTAACTACTGAGAATGTTTAGTTTCAGGAGGGAATACTAGAAAATGTACACAGAGCAGAATGAAACAGTAGAGAAATGAAGCAATTTATGAGTAGTAAATAATGCTTCTGTAGGGAATCATACATTTCATTTTTAAAAGGGTAGTATATCACATTTCTGCGCTCCAGCCTAAAAGTCAAAGTAGAAGTTAGGCAATGCCTAATTATCTGCATTTCTTTGAAAATTAACCCTAAGATAACTGAAATTCCATTCTGCTAGCTGTACTGGTGTCTGCTTTCCACCTTGAGAAAACTAGTTCTCCTTGTGTAAATAATTAATGAAACAGAGCAGAAATCAGATATTGTAATGTCTTAAATCATTATGTATGCTACTTCCCACCAGGTTATTAGCTGTTTTTGTCAGCCTGATGTCTTTTGTTTTCTAGTTGAAGAATTTCAGCTTTAGAAAAAAGGAGGTCAAAGTAGAATAGTTATCCATTTGATATCTGTGACCCCAATGTTGTTGTATTTCTAATTAGAACATGCACCTACTATGTTAGGAATAAACAATCAGCAAAATGCAAAGTAGAATAAAGGCAAGAAATTGCACTTTAAACTGCAAACAAGACAGTCACTGTTTTCCCAAATCATTTGAAAAGTATTAGGCACACTCTTCAATTTGAATATATATTTGTTTAATTATGTCTTCATTAAAAGTGATCTTTGACAGTGTTTCTAATAATAATGGCCTAATTCTATTTATACAAAGGGCTTATATGTTGTACCAAGCTTAGCTTCCAGTCATATTTCACCACAGTAAAGGGCGGGAAGGGAAGGTTAAACAGCCTGATTACTTCTGGCAGTATCACTTTTTTTGCATGCTTATATTTCACGAGTTTAATGAAATATATTAGTATACTAATTGTGTTTTCATTAAAAATGATACTGTCATTTATCTCAAATGGTAACAGTGTGTATCAACAAATGGACAAGAGAATGGAAGGATGAGCATTCATACAAGCAAAATAGCAATAGCAGGATCACTAGGGATGTCAAAGGAAAGTAAGTACTTAGATGAGCTCTTTTAAGCTTACTTGTTAATTTATGCATTAAAATGTATTTAATTGTGTAAGTGCTCTGATATTATATTGCTTTCTGTTACATTTTAAATGTATCGATGCTATTAGCAATTGTTAAAGTTTAACTCACTTTCATGCTTAATTGTATTCTTTACCATCTTTCGTACAAACTACATTATAATATTTTTAAAAGTAAAAAGAAAATCTTACTTTTTTCTGAAGTCATATCAACCTGGAAAAGAAGAAAAAAAGAAAAAAAAGGAAGATGAACAAGTTGCAATATAGTAAATGTATGCAAAGTCACCAGTGAAGTTATACTGGTTGAGTCAAGACCACTGCATACCTCAAGAGACACAAATGTAATGACTGAATGGAACGAAGAATGCATTCAAGCTAAGCATGGTTTTATTTCAGTGTTTCTAATAACAGAAAAGTGGTTGCTTTGCTCTTGTTATAATCTAGTAGATGCAAAATCTTGCAAGGTATTTTCTTTCAATGGGACTAGCAGCAGAGAGAACCCCGACTTCTGCATCACTAGGTATATTCAACATTGTTCTTGACTCATTTCTCCTCATCTAAAGCAAAAAGTCCATAATGATCATCCGAAAGGCACCTACTATACCTTAGGCCCAGTTTCTTTGCATATGTTCGTTCTGATATCACCATTTGAATTTTTCCCCTCTACCTTTGTGATGAAGAAATGCAAGTATAGAAATAACTGTAGATTTGCTACCACCTAGGATTTGATACTATTGATATCTCTAAATGGAAGCAGTGATGGCCTTCAGAAGCCACCTTTTTTACTTTTTTTTTTCTTCCAGAATGCATAGATTTAAAGGGCTGCAATTAATATAAATAAATAAATAAATGTCACGCAGAAAATTCAAGTTTAGAAGGAGCACTAAGCACTTAATTTCCTCTACCAAATCCGTGGTGGTAGTATGGCTGAAAAGTTAGTTTTGCAGTAGTGCTGACACAGTTGAAGCTAAAGCCTCCAAGATATTCTTTAGTGAGTGCTGGAAATGCCCACTTTCATTTAAAACCATTCTTTATAAAAGTAAATGCAATATATTTTCTCAAATTAGATGTTACTAATTCTTGTTTTTCCAGAAATGGAAAACAAATGTAGGTAAATCACTGGCATGACTTATGTGGTCATACATATCTTGTAATCACTTAAGCTGATGTCTTCAAACTTCACATTTAGGATAGTTTAATTTTCCTTACTTTAAGTCCATCATATTACGTCCATCTGGAATTATGTCAGCATATGAAATAATATTACTAAAATAAGAATGAATAAAACAAACTAAAAATATTTTAAAAAGCAAGATATCTCCACCAGCAGTCAGTTGTTTTTTTGTGTTTTAGTTTCTTAAATAAAAACGCAATAAATCAAAAGATCAGAAAAAAATAACTTTCAAATATTCTTTACATGTTTTTTATGGATTTTTCTCACAACAAATTTTGGGGACTTCACTGGAAATGCATAAACAGCATTATGGAGGCTAAAAGAATTGGTTTCATTCTTTCAGAATGAAACAGTAATCATCTAATAATAAATGTTTAATTCCTTATATATATATATATATATATATAGTGGCAATTAGCTTCTGATAGAAGACAGGTATCAGGTTAAACAAGGAAGTTACAGATCTACAGCTAGTAATATTTTTCCAAAAATACTTAGCTCCTGCTTGAATGTATTTATTAAAAACTTGACCACATTTTCATTTGACAGTGCCTATATTTCAGCACTAGAATAGTGCTGATATTCACTTTTTGTAATGATAATAAAAAACTGCAGTCCCCACAGCAAAACTTCTGAACTCTGTTCTGCAGTAAATTGCAAAGACATTCATACTGTTTGAGGAGGGGGCTAGTCTCACAGTGCTGGCACTTCTTGTTTGCAACAGCTGAACATCCTTAAAAATGTGGGGATGCTTTTTCTTATGTTACTCATTTATGAAGGGCTGAGACCTTAAGAAACATTTCTAACTGCCAGAACAGAGCTGGCAAAGCTGGGACCTGCTCATATTTCTTCATTAAGAGGCAATTCAGTTTATGTTAAAAAAGAAAACTCTATGTATTTTACTTTGGGTAAATTTCCTTGTAACTTGCAGGTTAACACTGAATCTATGCTAGACCTCATTATCCAGTTCATACATCTCTAAGATCTAGTCTGCCAGATGTTATAAATGGACAAGACTTGAGTTACATTCCTTTCAATTATACATCCAGTGCATATAATTGCAATGTGGTTGCAGATTCCTCTCAACAGAGAACTGGCTGATGGAGATATTTGTGTTTAGGTCTGTCTCTCTGCCTCCCTTTTCTGCCTCCACTAGAGGAAGCATGTTCAATCTGTACATATGGGGTACTAATAAAATGCATGCTATATCAATTATCTACTGGCTCTAAATATTTCAGATAGGTCTGGTAGCAACTCTATGTTATTTTTGGAATCAGAAAATTAACCCCACTTTGTTGTCGTTGTTGCTGTTGTTGTTGAGGAGAATATCCACTAAATAAATCCACCTTTATGATGCTCTTCAGAAGGATAATGTTTAAATACTTTTAGCTAGGAAACTTCTTTGGAAGGAATATATTCTATTAAGCATCTGTGAAATCAGTGGAAAACTTTGATTTTAGTTTGGAGAAAGTGAGACTTGGTAAATTCCAAAGTATGACTGTGAAAGATCCTTTTAAGGTCCACACAGATTTAATCTTCCAAGGTGTATCTATTAGTTGCATTTTAATAGTATGCATAAGCATTGACATGCCAGTACAGCAACATTACCTCTTCTTCTTGTTCTTGGTCTGATTCTGATTCCTTTCAGTTCCAAAATGCCATGCAAAAACAGAAGGAGAAAACAGAGCAGGCAAAATGCAGAATTGTTAGAAGGGTAAGAAAAAGTTAATTCTAACAACATTTCTGATAACATTTAGCATTTAAAAGAAGTCTATGCAGTAAGTTTATGCAATTTCTTGTGTAAAAAGTGGCAGTGTAAAAGAAATTGCTATAGAATCCAGCAAATTGCAAAAAAATTCCTTTTAGGTGTTATACTTAATGATGCTTATTTGTCCTGAAATTTGACATTTATGCATGCTTTCGCATCTATAAATTGAAGTGAGTAAATGTTTCAAGTATTTAAGAGGTTACTCATTTAAATTGAAAATAGCTTGAGACACATTGTACTACAGGTTTTTTGTATGATTTACAGATAATTATATTACATGGTAAAAATACAGAGGAAAAAAAAAAACATAAACACCAACATTTTGGTCAAACAGCCTAAGATGTTTCTAAAAAGCATGCTGGTCCTAAGCTGACAAAGAATAGTAAGAAGTATCCTACTTATCACGTGATGGCAATAAATTAACTTTTTTGAAAGAAACGAATATTTCTTGGTTTAGGGCACTCCAATGAGATTTCATCTGGTCCTGAGTCTGTTATTTATAAATAGTAACTCATGATAGACTTTTCATCTCCTAACTGTTATAACAATACTCAGAAGAATACAATACTCTGAACAATATTCTGACTTACTTATTTGCACATTCTTGACAGCTTAGATCAGATCAGATGTAAAAAGAAAATTTAGTCTCAAAATCAGCGTGATGTTAAAATAAATATAAGAAAATATTTTTGGCACTGCCATAACATTTGAAATTCTAGAGCTTGAGAATGCTATGTTTTCAACACTAGCACCACGGATACATAAGGGCAGTCACCAAGAAGTGTTATAGCAGAGTCCGTTAACTTTCAGACTGACAAATGATGTAATTTTCAGTCCTTCTATACTTCATATTTTGAAAACAGGGTAAGATCTATAGGGTTGTATTGTTACACTTGTATGTCTAGAAGTTAACTTCCTGTCCAGATAGGTGTCACAGGACAGGGTTAGACACTGGGATGTCTTCAGCAAAACCAAGAGACTCAGAAACATTCTGAGTCCCAGATGTGCACAATGTAGGTAAAATTACTGCACAAAATAAGATCAGCATATGTCTTGTGCAACGCTAACCACACAGTACAAAGTCATCTTCTACTGTCCTCTCTTCTGAGCCCTCAAAAAATGAGAGCTAAATGTGTGAATACTAAAACCAAGACATTGACAGCCCTTGTACCGTGTATTTATTCTTTAAAATACACGATTGCAAAGCTTTAACAATATTTTGCCCTCTTACTTCTTCCTCAGTCACATTACAATGCTGATTACTTTATACCAGTATGATTTCACAGTACCTTTGTGTAAACAGGTAACGTGATGTTTAAATTACATATGGCTTGATGAACAAGACCTCTTGTTGATTTTGGCTCCTTCATGAATGATAATCGTCCGCAGGGTTCTTGAGTGGTATCTCGCACCTGGTGGAACAAACATACAGAAAATTAATTAATTAATTGTTCTGGTTTGACTTGAATTAATTTCTGGTTTGAACTGCACAAAACACTTCAAATTATTCAGCAGAAAGAGGATAGAAAAAGTTCACGTATGCAAAAATAATACATTCTCTGCGTTTTTTCTCCTACTTATTTGTAAACGTACATGTAAATCTATTTGCATCAAAGTAAGAGAAAACACAACCATATGCATGCTTAGACAATAGAAACTTACTTCTAGAGGCCAGTGATAATGCTGTCTATCATTGTCTTAAAAGAACAAAGATATTCTAGTATGGTTAGGCTTACGTGATAACTTACAATACCTGCTGTTCACTGAAATAATCCCCAGACTGAGTGGTAGACAGACTTATTTTCTATTAAGATATTAAATAAACCAAGTCAATTTTCCTCATGTTTGTGCCGATATCAGCAATAAGTCTCAAAATTCTGGAATTACATATTGTGTTTGTTTATTTGCCCACTCTTTGGCTGAGGGGCTGTACAGTAATGAAAGATTACACTTAAACAACATATTCTGCAAAACGTTTTCTCAAATACACTGGTGAATCTTATTCTTACAATGAAGAAGTTTGGAATATACTCATAGGTGTGACCGTTACAATCTGCAACTGATACTACAGCACGTCATATTTTCAATTTTGCAGTGAATCAGAAAAATATGTTTCACAGCTGTTAGCAGAATCAACCTCGGCACTTAGGAGAATAGTAATGTACTTTTAGCTTTTGTATAAAAAGGACAAAAAATCACAAGAGAAAAAACAGAAAGCATTACCTCATACACAGTTTTCTGAACTGAAAAAAATGATACAGTTAGATAAGCATGCATTAATTTTATCAGACTGAAAGTAGTAGATGCAAAGCCACATGTGCTGGCACAGAGTAGCAAACTAAAACAAGATTTAAAATACTACTGAGAAAGAGGGAGTTTAGAAGTTGTCTAGCAGCAGAGTGAATTTAATTAATGAGGGAGTGGGTTGACTTTCTCCAATTTTTTCAAGTTTCCATTTCTAATGTATCTCTCTAAAACTTTTTTACTTAACGACTCTGTTGTAGCCAGACTGAACCAGCAGAAGAAAAACACGGTTTGCTGGAAAAGGCACGTGAATCTCCCTGTGAATCTCTCTGTCCAAAAGAGGTGGCAAAAGCACTGCTTCGTATCTGCTCCCTGCAGATCTCATGAAAGCAAAGGAGCTCTGGGGACCATGGTTTTTGCATCGCTGGCACTTGAATCTGGGCCTAAAACATTAATTCATTTGGTTTGAACTTTGTTTGTTTGTTTTAGCTTTTGTTTTGTAGATTTCTACTCAAAGATTCTACAATAGTATAGTAGCATAAGCTACAGGAACACAATCAAATGATGATTCAAAAGTACTTCATTTTTCCTTTGTTCTCAAAAACACAGTAAAACCATAACTTGAAATATCTAAAGAGGACCCATACTTTTCTTGCAGAACTTCCAAGCAAGTTTTGCATTGCTCCTGAAGAGAGTATCATAGCTGAAAAACAACCGCATCTCTCTTTACAGTCATAACCATATTTACATCCACCTGGTGTGACAGTCATAGTGGGACAGACTTTTGTCAATTCTTACATCTTTTCTTTTTTCCTGCAGTGTACTGAACCCTAATACAGGAAATCGAACACGACTAACTCAGTCAAAGCTTTTAGACTGTAGGTAGAGAGCAAGAATCACTGAGCTACCATTTTGGTATCTGAAAGAATATTATGGCCACACAAAAACTGAGACACAGACAATTGTCTGTAAAGCCAATGTTTCTGAAATTTCAAGTGCCTATTTCCATGCACCTGGTAGGCTCTGTCTACTCAAGTCAATGTTTAATTTACTACGAGAAATCTGGACTGTTCATATCTGCTAAGTTTATCACAGATTCCCAATTAGACAAAAATAAAAATATTATCAATAGCTCATTATACATTATAACATTACCTTAACAAATAGAGGAAGTCTGTTTTCTTTGAAGGCAAAAAAACTGAATATATGATGTTGTCCACTCTTAGTTAGTGGCACCAAATTGCCAAAACAGTCAACATAGATGGGTTTTCCTTCTAATACCTATTGGAAATGAATAAGAAACAAGGTAACAATCACAGTCATGACGTCAGGACTCTTCAGCCTGGTTCTATAGCACCTGTTTGGATCAAATTCTTAAATTTCTAAGACTTGACCTGTCAGAGTATATGCAAGATTTGTTATGTACAGTCACCACATTTTAGATTATTAAATTCTTACTGGAATATTTCATCAATTCAGTAATACTCGTGTAACACTATAAATGACCAGATATGCATTCAGTGTCATGAATCTGTGCAAATTCTCAATTTCTTCTTTATTAGTATTTTTTAATTGGATCTTATTTTAGCATACTTTGCTAATATGAGCATGCAACAATAAAGAAACATTTTCTTCAGCATTCAAACCAGACATGAATGGTAAGATAAGCCTGTCTGAATATCATGAATTTTCTGAGTGTTCCTAAACAATGCAAAAACTTAGTGATTCTGTGATTCTGTGAACTTTCTAAACTAGATTATCTATGAGTTTTACCTATTAGCAAATTTGTTGCAGTAGGCAAAGTTACTATGTACTAGTAGATTATATTCATTTTGACTGAACTTGTGAAGGTTGAGAGCTTTTGAAATTCAGGCCTCTAGCAAATATCTCTCCAAAATGCCTGTGTAACGATGCTGTGTACATCTTTGGATTGCTGTTTGTGGCCCCTCCAACATGTTTAAATCTCATCTTCACAGTTTTGGAGCCATTTCCTTCAAACAGCCAGTACATTAATCCCTCAACATTACTTTCCAGAAATTCAGCCGCCTTATTCAGTTTTATGAACCTATATTTTATCTAGCTGCTCTGAACAACAAATGCCTATCGAGGCTTCAGGAATAGTAGAACAGATTTTTTTAAAGGTGGAGTTCAACCATGAAAAAAAGAGATCATACTAAGCAGAAAATATGCCATGAATGCAGTAAATGTGTTTTTAATTTCTCATTTCTTCTAAGGAAGCTGAAAGAGTCAGGAAAATAAAACCAAACCAACATTCTAACAGGAAGTTTGTTGGATTCCACATTAGAAAAACCTTCACTTTTCAGGAACATATATGAATCTTTTAATATTTGGTAACAAACATGCTGTTGACTGCTTTTTCAGTTATTAATATGTATTTATGGAGTTACTGGCAGCTGGCTTTTACCTATCCTTTTTGCTGTTTACCCTTTTCACAACACCCTGTTAATATCAGCTTCAGGAAACATAATTGTTCAACAAAGAACACCACTCCAAATCTCACCTTTACTTAGATATTGCCTCTAAAAAAACCCCTATGATAATTACTGAGAAATCTGAGTTGTCTCCTGGTGGTTTGTTACAGAACTAATTAAAACTTATGCAATCAACGTGGATCATCACAGAAATGACCACTGTGTACTCAGGGCTAGTGAGTTACCTGAGGCAAAAAGTCAATTCACATCTGTCACCTCATTTTTAAGAGACTTTTGTAAGTCTTAGGTTTTTCATAAACCCTAACCTATGCAAAATTCGTACAGACTACTTTTTTAAAATAAAAGTCATACAAAATGCCTTCTCCTTCTTGCACAACTAGCAATCTCCAAAGGTCAGTGTTGTTTCCCCACATAAAATTAGATTCCATAATAGGTAGTTGGAAGATGCTGCTCTAACTCTGAATCTCTGATTTAAAAGAAATGCTGACCCTGACACTAGAAAAAAGGAGAAAGAATTTTTAACTGCTCATCTAAATAGTAAACCCCAACTTTATTTTATTACATGATTTCCTAGTATACATGAGCCTAGTTTCTAAGTCTAGCTGTTTAATGATAAAAAGGCAACTTAGGAAACAGAATTCTTTTAATGCAGTTTTGTCATATACATTTTTTAAGTCTTAGGCCTGTAACAGAGAGTTCAGACTCAACCAACCTACTTCCTCTCTCCTTGAATCTAGCTTACTATTCCACTTAAATATTAAATATTTTAATATTAAATATTAATGTATTAATATTTAAATATATATATTAAATTTTCTGAGGACACACTACGTCTCCTTAAAATGTCAGTGATGCTACAGAGAAAAAAAGCAGTTTTGCCCTTTCTAATAGTGCATAACCAGATGACTGGATTTCTTTATGAGTGAAACACAATCTAGGCTGATCCAGGAAGATGCAAGTGTCCAAATACAGACTACAGATTTCAGCTAGCCCTCTGGTCTAGCAAGTTGGTAATGCCCATTCATTTGATCAATCACTTCTGGCACCTCCACGCTCCCTTGCAACTTACCATGATAGATGACACTGCATCATAAGAGTATTTGTTAGCATTTGTATTTTTCAGTCCTTGTTCCAACCAGCAAGCAGAAAATATTAGCTTAAAATTAGCATTAGCAAATGCAGGAAACTGTTTAAGATTCATGTACAGTACCTCGACATCCCTGCTTCTGGCAACTTCAGCAAAATTTTCTTGTTGTTCTAGAGTTTTATCCACCTTGTCATCTGTCATGCAGAAACATCTTAACCGTGCTTCAATGGGATCATGTGATTTGGCAAACACCACAAATTTGGCCATGTAGGGGACGCAGATAATCTCTCTATACACTTGAGAAGCAAAAGTAACAGACTCTTGTGTCTGTCGGCAGTCAATTAACCAGAATCTGTAAAATAAAATGAAGAGTTGAGCAATCAACACAGAAAGATTTAAACAACAAAGTTATAATTTTTCCATTGTGGCAGCATTAGCTGGTAACTCAGCCAGTTGTTCATGTAGGTCAGAATAAAAGAGTAGTAGTTATCATTTGGGATGAATAACTTAAGATGGTAACTTCCTCTGGTTTAGGAGCCTGAAGCAAAATGTACAGCAAAAGCATTTCTGCCAGAACTTACGTTCCAAAAACCAGACACAAAACCCTTCACAGGATCTCTTGCTGCACAAAGTCCAGGCCATTGTTATTTTCCAAATACATTCCTGATTATTAATGAGGAAAAGGTTTTAGTATGTGTTGCTAATACTTCAGTCTGTTCTACTTGTAGAACCTCCATCTTTTATGGTTGAAAGATTAAGAAATTTTACCTAAAACATATACTTTTTTCTACCATCTAGCTTAGAGGTTAGCAGTATATTTCTTACAAACCACAACAAAAGCTGAGGGTCTTCTAGATGAATATAATTAATTGATTTTGTTCATTATATCCCACTGCATTCAAAATCACAAATGACTCTTAGGTGAATCTGGAGACATTCAATATTGTGCTGTTTTTATGCATATTGAAGGACACATATTTCTGTGCTTGAGTGATATTACATTTTGAAGGTCCTCAAAGGAGGTGCATCCAAACCTGATTCCTACTACCCTTGCTTCCTAGAGGCTGTAACCACCACTGACTCACTTTATACTTCCATTTCACTGATGACACATTTCTTTCCAGTGTATACACAGTCTTCTATAACATACGCACCACAAGTCATACATAACAATATTCAAAGCAACAGACAGAATAAATGACTGACTCTGCATAGTGTGAGAACTGCCTACCGCTAGGGCACGTATATTACTACAAACCTCAAATAATAGATATATATTGAATGTAGAACATTACTGAAGATGTGGACGCTGAAATTCATGTCTGAAACTTCAGCTTCCAGTACAGGTCTCCTTGTGTCAAAAATGATCCAATTCTTCACTGAAAGCTACAGGAGCTTAAGCCTTTCTTTGGGCAATTCAGCCCAGAAAAATATTGTTCAGCAACAAAAAAAGGGCAGAATTTCTTTATACCTTTCTTAAGACAACTGAATTATTCTTTTGTAAAGACAACAACTCACTTTCACTTAAAATAATTTTCAATGATCTATAATTTTAATAATTTTATTTTCTAATCCCCAAACATAGAAGCAGGAATGCACTACTCAATTCACAATAAGTAGCATGTATCGCCGTCTTTCTCTGATATCACATGATTTCGTTTCTCTCTGCAGTTGATAACATCTCTTTTAAATAAAATTCTCTTTGTGGGTGGAAAGTATGGTTGTGTTTGACACCTGCAGGATGGAGAAGGAAGTCATAAGAGGTCAAGGCCACCTCAGAAGCTGATATAGTCTACAGGGAGCTTATCACTTACTGTAGATTACATGACGTTATAACATAATAAACAAACCTTTCAAGCCTGATTTCTCTGGTCTTACTCATCTGCAGTTGAATAATAGTAAATATCATGCTGTGCTTATCTTTAGAACTTTTAACAAACACTCTGTTAACAAACAGAGCCTGACGGCATTTGAAGAAAGCAAGCATGTTTGGTACATGAAGGTTGTACACACTGATAGTTTACTTTCTTAGCATGCGGGAGAACTATGCTCTGCTGGACTCAAACTGAAGAGACTACATCCTCTGAGAAGTCACCATATGCTCAAATCATTTTCTCCTGTACGCCAGTGGCTAGGAAGCCAATGCAGACACTAAATTAAAACAACAACAACAAAAAAACCACACTAAAAACCTTACAGTTTAGGTAATGGAAAACATCTATGCCTCAGAGTGTGCATTTTAATTCACATGCATTTTAGACAAAAGTATCTTTTTCTCAAGCTCACTTTAGAGAAGTTTTGTCTTACAAACAGGAAAAAAAAATCTGCATTATTATTGATTTAATTAGACATAGACACATTATCATAACTGGCAAAAAGTTGGGCACCAGCTGGTTCACAGCAGGGCACAAGGCTAAAAAAAAAAAAAGGGTAGATGCACTTTTAGACAAGGGCATAAGTCAAGAAATTCAAGTTAACTTGTCCTTCAGCAAAGAGGGTAATTCTCTGACTGTAAATACATGAAAAATCTAGTTTCTTCTCTATCTTTAACAGCATTTAGAATCACATTTGGGTTAAATACTATTGAACATGCATCTAGATAACAAAGTAGATGCGAAACTCATTGAAATTTTTCAATTAGACTCAGGGTACCTAACACTGCGATAGTAATCAATTATAATGCCATCAGTGAGATTAGAAAACACCTACTACTAGGGTCTCTGTAGTTGAACTGTAGTTCTGAACTATGAACTGTAGTTCTATAAATTGTCACCCTTGTTCTGGCTGTATTTCATGTGCAATCTGCTTGGGACTTCACAGTTGTAGAGATTTTGAACTCTCAGTCCCCAGATCTGGATCTTAAGTTCATCTTTAATTTCTCCCTTTAGAACACTGCAGATGATAGCAGATGACAGCTAAAACAGTTTAAGGTCTCCCTGTTGTGGTTGTAATTATTAAAGAAAAAATGCTTAACGGGAAAGAAGCGCAGGAAATGTAGATAAGCAAAGCACTGAACTTAATGGGAAGAAAGTTCTGAATTGGAAAGTCTAGAAAAAATAGAACTTCATTTCTCCTACTGTTACAGTTACACTGTAGATTGGATTGCAGGAGCTCAATTCATTTTAATGTTGAATATTATATATCTAATTAAATCATCTAATAGTAGTAACTGCTGTGCCCACTGAATGTTTACACTGAGGGAAATTAATTGCTTTTCATAGGCCTACTCATACTTTCAAAGTTATCTAAGATTTTTTTTAACAGTTTGCAAGATTACAAACCCTAAATTTAAAACTTTCCAGGTCTCCAAATATATTCTCTGTCATAGAGATTTTTTGGTAAAAATCATAGACACAGTAAAAACTAATATACTCTTTTAAAATAAAAACAATGAAATTCTGTTTGCCAGCTACCAGAAAGCCAGCAGTTGAATCTCGCTACAAGAACAGATGGTTGGAAGAGAATCTTCATGATCACAGTTTGGTACACCTACGGGGCTTTCTGCTTGATTTCTCATTTGTTGGATATGCTGAGCATCTTTTATAAGGTGTATAATGAGCTTCCCAAATAAGGCATTTTCATTTCCATGAAAATTTTCACGTTTCTGCATCTGAGGGAGAAGAGAGAATCAAAACAAAACTAGATTTTTCTGGTTATCTGAAAATTGACCTGTCCCTCAGATTACTATTTTAGAAAAAAAGAGCATGTCATTAATTCATTTCTGGGACGATGGCAGGTGCTGACTGAGATGAGAATGACATACTCATTAATTTCTTCCAGCTTGTACGGACTGTATTGCTGACAGACAATATTGCTCTCACAGCTTCTAGAATAACCGGTCAGTTCATGCAGGGCACAGTCAAAATATCCACGCACCTTCAACTATACTAACTGAAATTGTTTAAAGGAAATACTAAAACAAAATACAGAGGAAAAAGGACATGCACTTTAAAGTAACACTGTAAATCTTGTTTTTATAGTTACCTAGCAGACACATTTGTTGTGAAGGAAACACATTCATTAACAAATGTCAGTGGTGTTGTTCCAGTGATGTCTTCCCATTGGGCAGGGGTGGTTCCTCCTGAAATGAGAATGATTTTTAAAAGAACGAAAAACAAGCAAGTCTCCAACCTTCTTGCTACAAAGGTGTAGCAAGCTAATTAACACCTCTGCTCTGGAATGACTCACTAGCACATCTTAGCGTGTAATGCATCTTAAAACACTGGGATAATCTTTGAAGTCAGTTTGGAAATTGACAAAGATGTCTGATGATAACTTTTAAACAGAATAAATGCAATGCAGCTAATTACTCCCTTTTGAATGAAACTACAGATGGCATTAATCACTTCAAAGTTATAGTAAACTTGATGTGTTTGACCCTAATATTTTTCCTCTGAAGGACCCTGCCACATTATGTCTGTTCCACATATACTGCGCTAGGCAGAGCTTTGTTGGTACTCAGGAAACAGAAAGTGTGAGAAATGCAAACACCCCAACCCCAAACTGTACAATTCTGTAACATCTCTCATTAGCCCAAACAACAAATTGTATTTCTACTATAAATTAATTGATTAGGAAGTAGTGTACTTTTACAGCCTCTCATCTCAGTCAAGCTTTCACAAAGCTTTCCATGTGTATAATCAGTTTAATATATTTACCCCATGATGACTTAAAATTTCAGGAAGCACATGAGAAGAGAAACCTTAGAATTTTCAACCTACCTGTTATGCTGCATAGTAACCTTAGAGTGGGTGTGTCACCTCCATAACCATTCATGATCCCATCACTGGAGGCCTTGGGGACAGGAATTGTCATCGTGATGGGTTTGTGGAACTTCCTCCTCCTGGGCTCCAGTGTGACTATAGGACTGAAGGTAGCCTTGTTGCCCAAAATCTTCTTTATAAGTTCAGTATGCATAGGTTGAGCCTTTTCAAAGCAAAAAACAGTAAGAATACTAACTTGAAAACAGAGTATGTGAGGAACTGGATCTGTATATTGCTAGAAATGTTACAGCTGTTCCATTAGATGGCACAGTTTTCCTGCAGGCTGACAACTGACTGTCAGAGAGAAATGGAGTCCTCTATTCAACAATTTCTTATGCCTCACTCCTGTTCCTACTGCCTTTCCTAGTGCTCTCATCAGTACCAATTTAATGTATTTAACTTATAGTAAAATATAACCCTGCTGCTAGGTTGTTTTGTTTTGTTTTCTCCTGAGGACAAACTTTAAACTGTTTTAGTTTCAGCTTTTTACAGAAGATTTCAACAATCACAGTAGCCTGACCAAGGTAAATGGTGGATCCATTCAACAGCTTTGGCAGGAAGCAAGGATGTAAGTGGGGGGGAATGGGAACCACCTCCCCTTTCAGTAGTGAACAACTTGGTGTTTCTTCTGAGATCATATAGATGGCTAAAAGACAAGAATCTGCATAACTAAAATACCCAAACCTTTATAACTTACTTTGATTTTAGCAATGAATTTTAGTAAGCACATTGTAGGCAGCAATGTACAACACAATAAGCTGTATAAAGGTGACTTTACAGTCTGAAAAAAACCCAACATTATATCCTTCTAATTATTTCATTGTACCTGGAGGCCAACACGAATTCGTTTGGTTAAAGCTCCTTCTGGGAAGACTGCCTGCACTTGTGGTACAACAGTGCTGCTCAGCACACCTCCCTCAGGTCCAATAAGGTTGCTGTCCTGTTTGATTCGGGACACCACTGCAAAGTACTGAGGGAAATCACGAGTGATGATGCGGCAGATACGTTTCTTCTCAAGCTCTTCTGGTGTGTCAAGCACTGACACAAAAGAGAAGATGGTCAGAAAACAAGATTTTCATAGAAGCAATACAGAAAATCCCAGCTTGTCACAGTTTAACTACTACTTACAGAAGTAAAATGAAACACATCTCAACATTTTAAGCTCAGCTAGAACAGAGAAATCAAAAGAGGAATACACACATTCAATAACTAACTGAAGGAAGCTTAAAACTCATAACATGTTGATAGCTTGCCCCAAATTAGCAGGTAAAGAAGCTAAGGGGAGGACTGGTCCGAGGCCTTTTCCACTTAATATTATACTAAAGATTGGACTTGCAGTAAAGACACAGAATTCTAAATCAAAGAAGTATCAGAGTATACGTTCATCTTTACATATGCAAGTTGGCTCATTTTTATTAAAAAAAAATCCATCAAAATTAATATCAATTCTAGGATCTGCAGGTCCTAGACAACCCAAGTCCATTCTGTTCTCTCAGTAAACGAGTACCCATGACTGACAGTTCCTCCCACACTTGTAGCTGCTTGGAAAGGATTAATATGATAATTGCCTTGTTTTGGAAAGATATGAGAGCTTTTTGTTTAAAACTGTGAAAAGAAGCAGGAAGATACATAACTTTAACATCTATTTTCAACTTCACGATGAGTAGACTCAGTCTACTTCAGTACACTATGCAAGAAAAGCAGTGCTTGTGCTAGCAGTATTCTAAAAGGATTGTACTTCAGTGTGACTACAGTAAAGTATCTGGAGAGTATGTCAGAAGTTCTCAGAGTAGACTAAACACGAGGTGCAAAACAGAAAAGATGGTGAAATGTTATTGTCCCTGGTTACAGATGTAGTAATACAGGAGAGAAAAAAAAAAAAAAAAAAAAAAAGCATCGCACTGGATACCTTCATCCATCCCATTCAAGATTTCATTTAGTTCATCCTCAGTGTATTCACAGAAATGTTCCTTCCAGCTGTCCCCGTTCTCACTGCGCAGGATTACCAGTTCTCTCTCTTTCCCACGCAGAGCAGCAAAATGGGGAATCTCCACAATCACAGGCCTGGCACAGCAACACAGCGCATTAAATGCACACGGGAGAGAGGAAGAAACAGGATTAACAGCAACTCTATTCAGTCTGCTACAAAGTGACCTGGAATTCTACCCATTCTCTGGACTACTTTTGCATAATGCTAAACTAGTACATCACTAACACACATTAGATTTTCACAGGGACCCAGTAAATGCTGAAGGACAGATTCAAAAGTGCATTCACCTCTTTCCACAGTGTGAATGGTATTTGGCTTAAAGAGAAATTTGAGAATTGTTTTGCAAATTCATTCAAAACTCATCCTCATTTTAATTGTCACTACTGTCTGGGTTAACCTGTGCAACTTCATTTCAAAGAGAATCTACTGTAATGCATATCAATAGTGGGACAAATTCTGATCTCACTTATAGTAGTGCAAATCAGAATAACTTCATTGCAATCAGTGGGCAACTGTGTCCTGTGCCAATTTTGCTTTAATTGTTCTATACGTTCCAATGAATTTATTCTGGATTTGCATTCTGAGACAGAGAAAGGATGTCTGAGAAGATAATCTAGGTTTCTATTTATGAATAGGAGATAAGAATTTGCCTTGTCTTACAAGCAGATGTCAATTTAGGTATCAATATATGTGTGCATATATATATGTATACAAGTAAATATGCACACATATATGTACATACAATATATTTATAAGCACATAAAAATACATACTCTTGAAAATAAGAGAGAAAATATAAATATATTTGTATATACAGTTCTCTAATTGGAGTATCCACACAGGTTATCATATACACAGCAAATATCATCTGTTCTATTATACTGGTGGTATCTAACATGTATCTTACTCCTTAGTACTTGACAAAAAAATCTTAAATTTACAGTAGATTCTTTTTCTTGGTCACAATCCAGGTTGCTTTGCTACAGACATCAAGCACATAACTAGGAAGATCTCATGCCAAAACAAAAATGAAGGCCACAGTGCTTTAAGAAAAAGATACAAACATACCACTAAAACAAAATCACATACCACAAGGGTTGAAAATGGTCCACTAAGGGTTGGGTATACAAAATTTCAAATCATAGAAAGGGATAATATCATGTGCACAATGACACACACAAAAAAAATCATATTGCAGAAGGAGAAGAAGAATGGGGAGGTCAGCATCCATCAATTTGTTTCAAGTCTCTCCTACCCAAGGAATTTGGTCCCAGGAGGCCCCAGCTGAAGGATTCGGCTGACCAAGCTTTCTCCCTCATTAAGTGGGGGAGGAGCCGTAGGTAGATGAAGTTTACTGAGTACATCCAAAGCAGCAGTGAAAGAAAGAACATAAATAAACTTTATGTATTTTTTTTTTTGCCAGAATGCCAGTGCCACTGTCTGATCCACAGAGTGGAATTAGGCTGTACACTGAATAAGGTTCCATCCTAGAGATGCCAATTTGGTGATCAAAATCAGAAAAATGTGTTTAATTAGTTTAGGACTTCTTCTTGTTCCAAGAAAACAATGGGAATTTTGCCAGTGAACTCAATGGGAACAGGATTTGTACCTTACAATGCACCTCTGCAATCAGTACAGTCATTTTCTGATCTCACTGTCAGTACAACACATACGAAAATGCTTTCAGGGAAAGCTCTGAGAAAGAATAACACCCTGTACCCCAGTCTTTCAAATGAGACATTCTCGTTAGATAGAAGAAACATTAAAAAGAAAGTAGGAGAGATTCTCAAGGTTGTTTTATGTGTGGGAAGACTGAATGTGACAGCACAATATTTCTTCTGCTCTTTAGATTTTGTTCTGCTTCTCTTAAAAAAATGACCAAAGAGTGAAACAAGTAAGGGGTACAAAGCATCTCATTAGCACGCTCGTTTATTTGTGATATTAACAGATATCCTAGCTGTCAAAAGAAATGGCTGGCTTGGTCTTCATATTAAATTCTCAGGTGCTCCAGAACTGCTTTTGCTTTCTTATCAGATTAGAGTAGCAGTGAAGTGGTCAAAACATGGCTTGGGTCTGTTCTTCATTCACACTACGTATAAAAGCAGTGGGCAGTTAAAAACTACTCATCAACTTTTTTTCTCTGCTTACTCTCAATATTTCAGAAAAATCATTAACAATGATACTGGCTCTGATAGCTGCCTATTACAGCAGCATTTAAAGCAACTGATTTATTTTGAAGAATTTAAACTATTGCAGTTTATAGTATCACTTTTTTTTTTCAATTTCTGAACAAGGTGGTTTTTTACTGTAATAGAAGGGGTTCCATTCCTTCAGTCATCCACTCTTGGATGCCACAACTGATATGGAGAATATTTAGTAAAACAAATTTAAAAAAAAAAAAATATGGATAATTGCTGCTTTCAGCTGAAAATTGCTAAAACAAGTTTTGCAGCAGACACAAATCTGATCTTTCTATGGTTTTTGCAGCATAGGACAAAATAAATGACCTGGAATAATGAGGTTGTCCTACTGCTTAATTTAGAAATTTCAACCCTAGAAAAATCAAAGGTACCATGCTTCCCTGATAGCTCAAACTTCTGATAACACAACACAAGCATCTCAGATATGCAGCTGTAACCTGTGTTGTATTTGAAGCAGGCTTTACATCAGTGCTGTGCTATTCACACCTAATAGGCAGGTTATTTATTTGTTAGTGTGAACATATTTAAATATAGTATGAACAGCCTTTTCTGGCTGCAAAGGGATCTTCCCACTATAATATTACAACACTTACTTAGTAATAATTAAATCCAGGAAAGCACTTCAACCTTACTGCAAGAGGTTAAAAAATCAGTTTGCAAAGGAAAAGGCTTAAAAAACTTTGTGAATTGAAAACTAACTGAAGATTTGCATTTCACACAAGCAGTCTGTTAGCATATATCACAATCATCTTTTTCTGTTCAAATCTTGAAAGAGGAACCATTTCAGTGCAACTTGCAAACAGATGAAAACATACCGAACTTTTTCCTTTAGGCCACATGGCACCCCTTACCCAAGAAACTGGGCCCCAGATGGTCCCACTTCAATCAGACGGCTGGCCAAGCCTTCCCCTTCCACCATGGGAGGCATGGTGGCCAGTCTGTGACGTTTCACCAAGCGGCAAGTCACTCGTGTTGGAGCAGTGCATTTCCGTGGAGGAATAATAATTCTCAATCCATTATGTCTGCAGCCTCTCATGGCACCCCCACGAGCATCCACCATGAAACTAACGAGGAAGCTGAAAAAGCAGGAAAAATTATTAGATACAAAAGCATATCAAAATCCCTTTGGTTATGTTTCACATATGTAACAAATACAAATACAGCTCTCTCTAGGAACACATGATTAGAAAAAGCCTTTCTCCAATGTGAAGCACTAAAGCATGCTAAGATCATTTATTACTTAAACTGACAACTACCATCTAAGAGTTCTTCACAGAAACAGTCTTACATTACATTGCTGTTGTTGGTAGAAGTACCAGCAGTCACTAATAGATGTGTGTGAGCTTTGGGGGTGTTGGAGTGCACACACATGTATATATATTGGAAAAAGGTAATCACAAATATCACTACTGTGTACATGTGAGCATCTATAATGCAAAATTGGCATTCTTGTAAGTATTTTACAAAACTAGTATATCTTAAAATAATTTATTTTATTTATTAAAGCAAGTTCTGAATGATTTTCAGATTAAATTCTCCGATTTAAAAAAAAAAACAAATTTCATCCTAGAATGTGTGGACACAGTTCTTAATAAATCACTGAAGCTATCACCGATTTATGTCAAAAACTCCCTCTTTCTTTAATATTACTCTCTTATAGAAAAGAACTTTTCCCTTCATAATAAGATTGTTGAAAGATACGTTTTAAGGTAGGAGAAAGCACTACAAAAAAAAGTGACTGTTTATCACTAGGTTTAGAGACCTCATTTTTTTTTCCTTACCCTGTGGTATTTATATTATTAAAAATATATATATGTTAGGAAATTACAAATAAATTACGAAAAAAGTAATGGTGGATAAGATGTAGAACCAATAAAAATCCTTGATTTATTAAAGAAATAATCCTCCATGCCATTAAAGAAAGAATTTCAAACAGGAGTTGGGATGGACTGACAGCATATCATTATCACTTGTAGACAAATTTGGGTTTTGTTGAGCTGACAATGGCTACCAGGTATTATATAGGAGTTTTACTTATGGATTTTTGTCTTTTTGTGCTACTTTGCACAGCAATACTATGTCCCAGTGGAAAGCTTATAGCTACAGGCAGTAGCAGAAGATAAATTCTTATATCTTTTTTTTAAAAGAGATAAAAACATGTTGTGGAATTTCTTACTGGCTGAACTTTCTGTAGTTGTATATATAATCAACAGGTAGATTTTGAAAGATGTGCTACAAAGATTAGGGAAATTCCTGGGAAAAGTATAGAATTACTTCAATTTTTTTTTTTACTGGCTTATGACTTGGAATCATGCCTGATGCAGAATAGGAATGTCAGGTTGCTGGAAGTGAAAATTAGAGTAGATGAGATAGAACGATATCAGGCCTACTTCTAGCCACTAAAATAGAATCACCACAGGGGGAGTCGCAGAAATGCTACTGAAGGACCTGCAATAGAGAAGAGCCCTTATAGTGTGAGTAACAAATACAGTATTTTTCCCACTGTCCCCTTGACCATTCTGTGCAACAAACATTGCATTCGTTCAATATCCATACAGCTACAAGTAATTCCACATGCTGTAAAAACACAACACTCAACACACCGTGCAAGTCAGAAAAATGGATGATGGGAAGGAGCCACAAGTGTCAGTCAGAAGCACACCATGCACCATGGATGCCAGTCTTTCTCACACATGCAGTCTCCTATTCTACTGCCATTCATATACCTCTAGGTTTTGTTAAGTGTAAAAGTCTGGGTAGTACAACCATTATCTCATTCCTTAGAGGTTGGTGTTTCTGTGGTTTTAACAAGGGGGAAAAGAAAGAAAATGAAAACATTTTATGGCTTTGATTCTCTGGGGATTAATTTAGAAAAAATGGGAGCTTCCTGCACAAAATACATACTTCATACATTTTAAAGCATAGATGAAAGAAGAGCTTAACAGATACTAAATGCTCAATTGTTGCTACAATGCTCTGCGGTTTGCATTGCAATTTTCCTTTAACTGTATGAAGTGGTGTCATCAAAGTGTTTTGAATTATGTTTGAGAGAATCGGTCTAATTCTCTATTATAATGGGTGCTTTAGAGGTAGTTAATAACACTGAGTTCTGGAAGAAGAGTTTCACATTTCAGTACTAATACTATGAGCAACAGAAATACTACCCCCATAATTACCAGAAGCTGATGAGTACACTTACTGAATTAAACAAGCATTCACATTTTTGATTGTGTAAGCTGTCATGAATACAATGTTTGTGATTCATTTATTAGTCATTATTGACATAATACTCAAGATGGCATACTTTAACAGGATCATCTTCCTTTTCTGTTCATCACTGAAAATACCAGCGCTAGTTCACCTCTCTGTCTTATATCCACCTCAGCTTATCTTTCTGTGGCTCAGCAATGCCAAAAACACTGCTCGCTGCTAGAAGAATACATACACACAAAAGGGGAGGGTCCAAAGCTAATAATCTAATAATCTGACTTCCGACCATAGTAATGGCTTCTCTTCCTTATAGTATACAATGCTTTTTTTCCTCTATACCACTCAGACTTACTTAAAGACAAGCAGAGTGCAGGACCAGTAGTGCTTTTTCACAAAGCACCTATAACACAATCCAGATAACTGCCCTATGTAGTGTATAACCAACATAAAAGTTGGAGCAGGAGTAGTCTTTGAATTCAAACATCTGTAAGAGTCTGGTATTTCATTCCCCCCTCCAGTAATAACCCTGTGTTCCCACAGCTGCAATACTCAGAATCTAACACAGACCGACTAAAAATCAAACGTGGTATTTCTCTTTAGTACATGCTTGAGACGTAAAGTGATAGCTGTGTGTGTTCAAGCTTTATTTAAAGTTGCAACTATTTCTTTCAGTTTAAGTTTACTGAATTTGTCTGGCAGCCAAAGCACGTCAGAGCAAGGTCTCTCAGTTATCTGCCATTGAAAGCAACTAGCACCTCAAAGAGTGGAAGAACGGGCAAAGGTCTCTGAAAGGTGGACACAAAGATAACAACGATGAGGAGAACATGTCAGCTATTATTATTTCCTATAAAAACAGCTGTTTCTATCATATAGAATATCTAACATATTTAGCAAATAACAAGATGAAATCTAGCAAACGTGGAATGTTCATCACAGTATATAGAAAAAATATATTTGTGCTGTATCTCTGAAACAGACCCCCAGATGAAATGGGAGATTTCTGAAGGGTTCTGTGGCTTCTGGGTACATAGCAAATTCAGGCAAACACAACCAAGTGTGAAGACAGCAGAGAAGGAATGGTGCCAATTATCATACAAAAAATACACAAGGGCTAGTACACAAAAAGCAGCTATTCATTACTGTGAAATTTGAGGCAAACTGATTTTGGGGAACTAGGAAGAGATAGCATTAACACAGTACAAAAGAAAGAAAGCAAAGGGGAAGAAGTTCCCAGTTCAACAAGCCACATCTTAAGAGTCTGAAAAGACAGCATACAGACGTAGGATTTCTAGAGCTGACAAGAATGTGGAATTATATATATATTTTTTTCCATTCTACCCTGTTTGTTTCTTAAGTTTTTGCTGAACTCTTTTTTTTTTTTTTTTTACCTATTTAGTCAAATTTATTTTAACCTTTTAAATTAGCACAATCCACATTGGTTTGGATATTTATATGCAATAGAGTCAAGAAAATAATTTATAACAAAGTATTTTCTGAATCATAGCAGCATCCTTTTTCGTTTACTTGCCCTATAGAAAGGCATTAGGACTGTGATGTTATTGTTCCAGGACTAGAAAAATCTTTGTTTTGAGGGACTGTGTATGTCAATATCAAAGTAATACATACAAAACTGTGGATGATATTAATAAAACACACTTTCTGAAACACACATGAAAGTGGGAAAAAAATGTATGACTAATATAAAGGAATATTAATATTCAGATTAATTATTTGCTCCCTCCTCACTATTTCTTCTCTCCCTAATGTTTCTTCTACCAGAAGTAAAGCGGCAAGACTAAGGTAGGAAGAGATTCTACTCAAAAGAAGAAACAAAACCAGCAGGAACATTGGCAGATATTAAGCTACCACTGGAATTTGTGGTACTTTTTCATTGTAAATTCCCAAGGTCAAAAAGAAAATCATAAATAGTACTGGAGTATGAAAAACCCTAACACCGTAGATATTACTTCTGGCCACGTGAGCTGGACATTGCAAAAAAAATTATTTTGGACTAAGCACGAAACTTTACTCCATCGCCCAACTGCAGAAAGAAGAAGTATCTATGCACAAAAATGAAGATCAGAGGGGTGTTTAAAATGAAACACAAATGGCTGTGAAGAGCTCAAGAGAAAAATACAAATTAAAGAAAGAAAAAATGTTAATAGGATTAAAGGGCATCAGAAAGCTCTTACAGATTTTCACCAGAAAAGGAGAGGAAAAGTGGCATTCTGAGAAAAATCAGGCAAATATATACTTCTATGATAATCTATTGTAGTTTTAAAAATTAAAGAGAAGATAAAATGATATCAACAACAACTTACAGAAACTCCACAGAAATACAATAGCTACAATTTTCAGAAGGGCTTAAAATGACACAATAGAGGAAGGAAAACGTTAGCAGGGATTAATACAGTTAAGGAGAAATGAGGTAAAACAGAGCAGATGGAAAACAATATAAATAGCAAAAAACATTTGGGCAGTTGAAAACGTCCCTGTGAGTCATTTCAAAGGCAGCCAAAATCAATGAACTGATTGATCAAGCCATAGAACAAATTGTCATGTAACCTTCATCAGAAAAAGTCTACTTTAGAACACATTTTAAATATCTTTCCCATGACAGCTAGATACTGGGGAGGCATCCCTCTTAAGCATTAACTTTGAATTATCTTGACAACTCATTGTAAAAAATGGATTTTAACTAAGTGATGATTCAAAATCAAAGCCAATTAAGGGTTAAAGTGAAAGAAGTTAAAATCTGTGTGTCAGAACAAGGCAAAAATGACACAAGCTTTGTCAGAACTTGAAGTCAAGACAGACTTACTCAAAGTTTTCATTTCTGACAGTTTTAAAGGTTGAGTTAGAAATG